GTCATAGGATTTTGAATAGCAAATAATTTACAATTTTAGTGTACTTATATTATTTGACCTAATTCTGGGATGAAAATCTCTCTTCTATGATCTAAAATTGAATTTAGGCCTTCTAAAACATTTTATGGAGCGAGATTAAGGTTTTTTAAAATAACCCAGTAACCTTTTTTGAGTCCTTCAAGAAGTGGACCTGGAACAAATCTAAATTGTCCATTAGATTATTCAGATGATACTTAATGACCTATCAATTTTGAAATTTAATCTAAACTGCTATTAGGCTGATCTGTGCCTAACAATTCCTACAAATCAGATTGTTCATCAAAAATGATTTTTACGCATTTAACACCTCTCTATTTAGCAAAATATTGAATGATATGAGTTTTACCACATTATGGTGGACCTTGTATCATAATAGGCTTGTTGTGGATGTTTATGGCTCTTAATAATTTATATGCATTGATTTCAGGTATTAGTTGGGTTTGTTCCAGCTCCATATTTGAATAAAGATTATTTCTAATTGATGTAACCTAATCAAGGGCAAAGTCAATTGATTCCTCTATAATTATTGACTCATCAGAATATCCTGTCTATCTTAATTTTTTAATATGTTCTACTATTTAGAGTAGATCTCTAAATGTCATATCCTCGTGAGATAAAAGAGTTTCACAAATAGTATTACAATGTAATTATTCAAATTATTAAACAATAGAATGCATCTCATTTTTAGATAATGGATTAAATACAAAAATTTCAGTAAACCTTGATCTTAATGCTGGAGTCAACTCTTTTTTTCCCCAATCTCCTGAAGGATTCATTGCAGCAATTATAACAAAGGTATTATGAGCTTAATAAAATTGATCATTAACTGTAAGTGTGGCTGGTTATTCTAAACATGAATTCAATCCTTCTAAGACACTTTCTGGACACATATTAACTTCATCAATGAGAAAGACTCCTCCTTCTTTAAAGCATTTTAATAATGGACCATCTTAAAATGAAAATGGACTATTAGAGTTTGCATCTCTAGATGGTCTTAAAGCTCCAACGAAATCAGATAATTCTAGATATTAATGACAAACTATATGCTAATTTTATAAATTCAATTTATCAGCAATTATTGCAGTTAAAGTAGTTTTACCAATACCTGGAGGACCAACTAATAAAGCAGGTTCATTATTTTAAATAGATTTCAAAGTTAAGGCTGTCATTCTAATAAAGGATTGATTCCATTAAATATTATATTTACTACTAAATTCTATTAGTCCACTATTTTTGAGCACTTCCATATAGTAATCTTCAGGATGTAATTTAACTTTAAAAATATTCTCGATTATAGTTTATAGTTGTTTTCTCAATTACAAATCTCTGACTCTCTCAACAATTAAACAATATCCTTCCATTGCTGTAGATTCCTTACCACTAGCTGCATTTTTCATTCTATTGCCCCATTTTATAAGATCTCTTAATGTGACCATTCCCATAAATAATGACTCACTTGCTCTTAAAAGATTGATCTAAACTTAAGTTTGTCTGACCAAGGGAATATGAGTTTCTGGAAGATATTTACATCTAGTTTTAAGTATATTTGTTAAATCTTCAGTAGAGATTTCTTCTACTTAAATTTCAATGAATCTATTTCTAAATGCTTTTGATAATTGTTTTCTACCACTATATGTAACTGGGTTCTATGTTCCGAATATTCTGAATCCAGGATGTGGTTTTAAAGTAGTTTATGTCTCTGGCAGAAACAACTCTTAATTATCATCCAATAATCTATTTAGATTTTCGAGAATTTCACTTCTGGCCAAATTCAATTCATCTAATATTATCCAATCACCTCTTCTCATTGCAGTTACCAATAGACCATCAACAAATTGAATACTATTGCCTACTTAACTATAAGTTCCAAAGTATTCTTCCAATTAAGTATTCTAGTGATTATTGATTCTATGGCATCTTTAACCACAAATCTTAGCAATAAAATATATTAATGAGGTCTTACCACCACTTGTTGGACCCTCCAACAATATAGGAATACCTGTTCCTGATATACATCTCAAACAAGATAATAAATAACCGAAGTTACTTGGAGTTATCAAATACTCACATTTTTCAGGTGATATTGGTTATTCATATCCTCTTGGCAATTGAAATCCATATATCTCCACATATTAATCAAATACTCTATAGTTTTATGAATTTATTGAAGGTGTAAATTATTTATAATCTAAACCATTAATTTATAATTGTTAATGAAACAACTCCTAAGAATCCTTTCCTAATCCACTTCCAAATGCCAATGATAAACCATTAAACATTGCTAAATTTTAGTTCTTTAATTTAGAACTTCTGAAGTAATGTAATGCTCTGGCTAGATTTCTTAATGAGAATGTTTACAAATTGAATTAGTGTTTTTTACAAATGTCTTTTAAATTCAAATATAAATCTGCTAATTTTACAACATCAAAGGAATGACCAATAAGTCCTTTTATAAAATCAATAATATCTTATTTATCTAATAATTCATGACAATATATGGTTGTAAATTTATTTTTAATATTGGGTGGCAATTCCTTCTTACCAACATCAGTACCAGGATTCATACAACCAAATATTCTAAAATTAGGATGGATTTTAATTGGATTTTCATCTCCTCTTTCATAAAACAACAATTAAGTTTTTTCAATAGCTGGCAATATCTTTTGTAATAATTCATTATTTGCCAAATTTATTTCATCTATCAATACCCAATCTCCTTTCTACATTGCCTTAATAAAATTTCCAGTCAAAAAATAGAAACTCATTTCCTATACTGAACTATTCAAATTCTTCATTAATTTATTCATTTTTTCTTTCAGTTTATCATCGTTAACTTTGGACAAACATTGTTACATTGTCTCAATCATACATTTAACTAACATATTAAACTTCTTAGTAGCATACAATTTTTGAAGAGAATTTATGAATTATTAATTCTTTTTACAATCTACAGTTCTAGTAAAATATTTGAGAAATTTAGTATAATTAATTTTAATTAAGGTTTCTTAATTTAATGGTCTGAATCCTCCAATAAGATCCTGACAATCGGATCCTTCTGATAAATTATAAATATGCAATTTCTTTCCTAATAACTAAGCACAATGTTATGTCAGCGTAGTTTTACCACAACCTGTGTCACCAACTAAGAGACATGCTTCATCATTCAATATGCATGTCATTATTTATTCCATTATTCGACTTGAATATTGATTATAAACAATAAGTGATTGAGAATCTTGATTAATTTCTATTTACCCCAACTTACTGAACTCTAAATAATGATCATATTTCTATAAATAAGTTGTTTATCTCAATTAATCCAGTTAAAACACTTAAGATAAATCTACTTTTAATACCTCCCAACATTCCAAACATAGTTTAACTCTGACTTATTCAGGAATGTAAACTTGATCCTAATAATCTTTTAGATGATATTGAAACCTATTTTTTAATTTATATAAATCTTTTAATTCTGGTTTCTATTCAGTAATTTGATATTATTCAAGAATTTCTTTAAAATATCTGCAATTAATTTGTTTAAGAGTTTCAAAGCTAACTGGTTCCATAGTTAATACATATTCATCTTCAATTATATCTTTTTGTACTGCAATAACCTTTAAATTTGATATATCTTTTTTTTATCCATTTACTTCAACATACTTTAATTATAGGGCTCTTCTTAATTATTATTTGAAGTCCTCACTAGTTTCAGAATAATTCTTCAACACCAAATGAGCTCCAATATTCTCACAAAACAACAAAGGTCCTGCTTTATGAGTAAATACTCCAATTTATTCAGTACATACGAATTGCCCTATTAAAGATTAGAAATCTATGGTTTCGTCCATGTATAATGTTAATTCTTTTTGTTTATGTAATTCGAAATAGTATTTTAGTAAAGTGGTTTTACCACAACCAAATGGGCCACAAATTAGAACAAAATTAGTTTGATCTAACATATAGGTTAACTCATTTAATTTTATTTTGTCTACCTAAATTTCATTTCCTGTGTTAATCCTTTTATTTTGTTATGTAATCGCAAAAATATGTTTCACTTGTCTATTTTTTAGTCTTTGGTCATAGAATTCTTTTTCAAGGAACAACCTTTTTTCTGGCTCTGCTATTAGGATTCCTTGTAATGCTTTCAAATTAAGAGCAAATGCACCATCTCCTAGAGGGGTGCATTTGTCTAACACATAGCAAACCAAATAGGAATTTGGTAAAGTCTTTAAAATTTAACTCTTGAGTAGGTTTCGAAGACTGGGGAATCTTTAGAATAAGTAAGCGATAACAGATTCTGATTGATCTTTGCATTCTTATCTAATCAAATTCCAATTCTCCATAAATTAAAATATAAATATATATGAGAATTGAAAAATGTTATTTTTGCTCTGGTCCTATTTATCCAGGACACGGAATAGTCTTTGTTAGAAATGATAGCAAAGTATAAGTCTTTGAATAATATATAGATGTTTCGATTTTGCAGATCTAAATGTCATAGACACTTTAAAGCTTAACACAACCCTAGAAAAACAAGATGGACTAAAGCATTCAGAAAAGCAGCTGGAAAAGAGATGACTAATGATAGTATCTTTGAATTTGAGCAAAAGAGAAACGAACCATTAAAATATAACAGAGACTTATATATCAATACTGTTTAAGCCATGAAAAAAATAGATAAAATCAGATTAAAAAGAGAAAACAATTTTTGGAAAAATAGGTATATTTTATTGTAATTCTTGCAGATTAAGAGCATAAAGGAAGCAGAATCTTGATAATGTCGAGACAGAATTGGCAAAGAATATTAATTTAGTGTCTGACAAGTCAGTTAAAGAAGTAATCAAATAAAAAGCCATAGAAAAAGCATAACTTAAGGCATAAAAGTAAAAGAAACAGTAAAAGAAAGACATGGTCGAAGAGGAAGCTTGAATCTTAATTATGTGTTTTAAATAAATATAATTTCATAATTTATTTGTAGTTTATGGATTTGCAGTTTGAGGCTTTTTAGTTATTTTATATTACTTCTGTAATTCAATGAATTCTGACTCTGGAACAAGTTCTTTCAATTATCTATTTAATTATTAGATTAATTCTTACTCTAATAGTTAAGTTGATGATTATTAATGTATTAACTTTATTTTTTATTCTTTATTGCTGATTTCTGAATTCATCTTCTGTTTTGAAGTCTACAAATAAAATAGCAGCTTCTCTTATTCATTTTTTTATTATATTGATTTCTTTTAAGCATTTAAAGATCGTTCCAATAACAAATCTTATTAACTAAACTTATAATAATTAATCATTTATACTTATTTTCTTTTTCTCAACTCTAATTTATACCAATATTCTCTTTAATTTTAAGCATTTTATTCTTTTAATTGTTTGATTTCTTCAAGTTTACTGATTCTTAGTTTCTTCGAAACATCATCTTTGTTTTACAATTTCTCCTATAACTTTATTTACCATTGTCTATACTAAAATACTGGTTTAATATACTTTTCTTCTTCCTTAACTATTTCTAGATTTTATTAATGTTTCCTCAATTTATCTTTTCTCTCCTTAGACATTTTAATAGCCTCCTACTTCATCAGATCCTCATTCTTCTTTTTCTATTCTTCTATAGAGATCATTTTCTTTCCGTAATTATTACACAATTCAGATTCCCAAATAGCTTTAGATGATGCGCTTTTTTCATGAATTCTCAATAATTATTATTCGTATCTCCATTATTTGTCTTACCTATCTTTTGCCTGTCTTTCTACTGATTTTAATCGATTTTCTTCAGTTTGAGTTTCTTTTCTTATATTCTAAAATAGAGTTTCGGACTATTCATGATTCAATAATGATTTTCTAAATAGGATCTTCTCTTCTAATTTCTTATTTTTCTCAATCTTCTCCATAATTATATTAGATTTCTTAGTAGCTATTTCGTTGTCTCTAAAGTATAAATTAACAACAGTACTTTTGATTCAATTTCTCTTAAAATTCTTTTGCTTTAACTAAGTCTCCTTCTATTTATTCTTCTTTCAACTTTTTCTAGGTTTCACATTTCTTTTTAGCTCTCTTATTTTATTCCTAAGCTTTCATTTTAATCTCCATAATTTTGGCCGATCTTATTTACACATTTTTTTGTCTTCTTTCCAAGGTTGCTTATTCCCACTATCTTCTATCTAATTCAAGCAGCAATGCATCTTTCACTTCAGCATTATTCAAACTTAATTGTCTCTATCTTTCTTAATTGATTTTGCCAATTTTATCATCTATGGTTATAGTTTGACATTGAAATGGAGTTGCTGAATTTATACTATTAAATGGTATGTATTCATAACCCCGTAATTCATCTTCTTCTTACTATTTTTTTTAAAACCATTCTTTTATTTGTTTTCTTTGTTCTTTCAGTTCCATGTAATCATCTAATTGTCATTTATGAGAATACTTAATAATTGCTCTAAATAAGTCTCATATTCAAAATCAATTGATTATTAATCCAAAGATTTATTATTCCTTTTATTTCTATATTCTAACTCATTATGCTTTTCAAACTTATTTCTTAAATATCAATAATATATTATACTTCCTTCTAAAGTCATATTTAGTCTTATTCATTTTTAGCAAAGCCTTTTAGGTTCTCGGAGAATCAAAATTGGTGTGGATTTCAAATTCTTAAATCTTAGCCAATAATTCTTTCTAAGAACTCAGTTTATGAAATTTAGTTTATGTGAAGAACATAAAATTTAATATTAATTATCATAATACAATATTGACTCTCCTTTAATAACTCAATTTCACTTTTTCTAAGTACTCCCATGATTATTATTTCTTCTAAAGTGGCAAATTTGCACTCTATAAAATATCATTGTATTGGAAATCCATTTATGTTAATGATGGTAAATATTTAATTAAAGTAATTAATGCATCATAAGCGTGATGATCTAATAGATTGTTACTCAGATCGATCTCTTAAATATTAGTTTAGACCAAAACTTCACAGAGATCTAAGAAATACTTGGTTGATATCATCATGTCTGACATTTTCAAGATTTTGAGATTCTACAAATCTAGTAATAATATTTTAATCGATTGATTTCTAGGATATGTATTACTGGATATATTTATATATTCTAATCTTTTACATTCACTCAATAAAGTAGTTAATAATTTGAATGCAGTTTCATTTAATTAAGTTTTTATCAATTCTACTCTTAATAGACTTATCAAAGGAGGTTAAATCATTGATAAATAAATAATATGTTCACTAGTAATCTACTTATTCTTTATTGTGAGTGATGATGAATTCTTGATATTTACAGAAATCTCATTATCATTCTTTTAATATTTAGCAGATTTCTCTCCACCATAATTGATAGTGACTAAGTCTGATGCAAGATGTGGTTTCTTATGTTATTGTTGATATTCTTAGAATGTTTTAAAATCAGTACAATTTACGTTGCTCCAATATTCTTTCCATGCCTTCTATGTGTCTAGATTGTGTGAATTCAATTTTAATATTCTTTCCAATCTACTTTATAACCAAATGTGAGAATCAATTGCATCTACTTCATTACTTGAATTAAAAAACAATTTATTTGAACTTGAATTCTATTTAATCTTCTAAGAATTAGGTCTACTGAAGGTATTGTCATCCTTTTAAGAATTATTACCAGCATTTTTTAATTAAGGCATACGAATCTCTTATATTTTTAATTTTAAGTCAGATTTCACATTTAATAACTCCTACTCGAATTATTCCTACCTTTTATTGAGAGGTATTTTCATTCTTAAATATTTCCTTTTTTCTGGATCAATTTCTTAAAATTTATATTCTTTATTCAGTTTTTCAGGTGAATTCATTTGCTCAAATTCATTTATGTCCATCTTAAATACATCTTTAATAATGTTGGAGATTATTTCTGAGGCTTTGACTGTTTCCTTCTCCTCCTTTGCTTATTCAAATTTCTTAGGAATTTGATCTTATCTCTTTTATGCTTTACGATCCAATCTCCTATTAGGTAAACGAGGATTTGGATCAGTGGATCTCAAATCAAGAAAATCATTCAAAGAACCAACATCTAAATCTAAATTTTTTGCTATTTTCTCGTCTTTCAATGATTCTTAGACTGTAAATATTTCACCTATCTCAAATATCATTATATAAATATTATTTATTATATTTTCATAAGTTTATGATTTTTAGCTATAATGAGATTTCATCCAAACTCATCTGATTTGATTATCCTTTATCGAAGAATTTTCTCATTATTATTTCTCTTTCGAAATCGTGATTACAATCAAAATCTTAGAAATTTAATTAATCAATATTCTCTTAATTCTCCTTTATTAACTATTTCTTTCTTTTTTAATCTTCTTCAAATTGAGATTTCACTTTCTGTTTTATTGCATTTCTTTGATATTCATCTATAACTGAACTATTGATTTTCAATTTAAATTCATATCTAGGTTCAAAGGTCTCCATAATTGATTTTGCTCTCTAATACTCACAAAAGGCTTCGTAGATATGTAAGTTATTCTCTTTTAATATAAGGGCCTCTAATTCTTATTTTAAAAATGATTAGAAATAAAAGAGATCCTAATAAATCAATAATTAATAAGGTCTATATAATTTTTATGGGCATTATAATAATTTTAATCCCATTTACATTACATTCTATATCTTATATATCCAAATGAAATCCTATTCATCTTCTGGATATTGTAATTTTCTACTGCTTTAATAAATCTATTAATTGATTGATAACTTTTAGAGGAATGAATAATAAATAATACAAAACATTTTTGGTTTTAAATTATGAGAATCTGCATTATTTGCAGCCTCAGTATTTATAATTGGATTTTACAATTTTTGATTCATTTCTATTCTTGCTTTTCTTTTATCTTCTATTTTTTCTCCTTTAGTTTAATTTTATTGTTATTAAATATACTATGATTATTATTATTAAGGGATATAACTATTTGTGGATTGTTCAGTAATCATCCTCTCAATTTAAATGAAACTTTCTCTATTTTCGGTCATCAACCTATCTAACCAATAAATTGGAACTTATCTTAACTAGTCACAAATGTCATCATTTGAAATGTTTGAATGAATTACTAACAATAAATTTAATAAGTGTTCTGGTTTTGGATCCATAGTCACAAGTGCTTCCCGCTATCTTAACATTGTAAAAATTGCCACTGGTTGATTACACAGTAGTTAATTGAAACCTTTGATAGCCACCTGGAGCTCATTCGTTGTTGTAGGTTTCAAGAGCTTTTAAAGAGTGGATTAAACATCATCTTTTGATTTAAACAGACTTGTAAATTTTTAGAGTAACGACATTTATTATTAATAAATTAATACTTTGCAATAATTTTATTATATTGAGCGAAAACCTAATCTAATATTTAATGTAAATTAATATCTTCAATAAAATATCGACCTTTGAAGATAATCTAATTTCAATTTACTAGATTATGCAAGCGATCGTTGTAATTAAAAATTCACTTAGTATTAGACTCTATTACTTGGAATAAAGGTCAATTTCAGAAGAAGTAATTAGAGATTAAGAAAAATATGAAATAATTTTTACAAATACACAAGGTCTTAAAGATGGATATGCTTCTCCTTAAATTACTTATGATCTGAATAATTTAGATAATAAGTATAAAAATTGCAATAGAATATTAATGTATTAATGCTAAATCAAGTATGAATTCTAATAAAAGGTATTCTACATTTTATATATTATTGGGATAGAAAATTTATATAATTGAACAGGCAAATACATCGCGCTTTATGTTTTTTTGATAGATTTTTAATTGAATTGATTACAATTATTAATGAACCTATTAAATGCTAATTCTGATCAATTTATTCACTTTAATTTGACAAAATCATAAATGCTATCACCATAGATATTAAATAATTAAAACAAAAAATCAATTAAATTATAAACATTAATATTTTACAAATAATTACTTTTTTGGATCTGAAAAGGGTGATGTGAGAATTTGTCTCCAGATTTAGTCTTAAAATTCATTACTAATAATAAGCTAATTAAGATTTTAATTTTATAAAAGAAATTAATATATTTTATATAAATAATATTGAAATCAGAAAATTTATTCTTTGTAAACAAAGGGAATTTATTTTAATTCTATTTCTATTACAAAATTCTAATATTAATATTTCTGATGAGATAATCTCAATTTTATCATACTAATCCATGCATATGTTCATTCAGATTAAAATTAGACATATTTTTTCTGAAAGCAATCAATTTAAATGCTAATCCACAAATATTTAATCCTCTAATACTTTAGTATATAGTTAATTCAAATCACTAATCTCTATGTTGCCTACAATAATATTGAATTGAATTAGAAGAACAATAATGATAAGGCTTATAATATAATTTCAGAATAATTCGAAAAAAAGTTGTCCAAACAGAAATTTTATATAATTGATACAATGAGAAACAATTATTTGCTATGAAACTTAATTTCAAATTATTCATCTTGATAAATTAGAAGCGTGATAATAAAAGATGCTCTAAGTTTAATGTAAAAGAAATAATTAAACAACGCCAACTTAGCTACTTAGTAATCTAATGCATTCTAAATCCGTATTATTGTAAAATGAGTGTTGAATGATAAGGCAATTGATGTGAATATGTTGCATAAACAATAATATTTATAAAAAATAGAATAATTAAATTATGTCTTACGGAAATAAAATAATACCAAGTGTTCCGAAATTTACAGAGTTCAAAGATTACACTTCTAGTCAAGTTTTGCAAATGCATACTCCCCATTTATTATAGAAATCGCATAAATAAGATCTAGTCTTATCATCTGATTATTCAATGGAAGTAGAACCCTCCAAAAAGTATACATTATAATCTGCTCATTTGCAATTAACAGGTAAATTGGATGTATATTATAGGACATCAGAGTGAGGTGTATTGTGTGAAATACTCTCCGAATGGTGAATATCTGATAACAGCTGGATTTGATAAGAAAATTTTAATTTGGGATATTTATAATAATTGCACTAATATAGGGATTTTGGGTAGTCATAAAAATGCAATTCTTGATATTGCTTGGTAATATGATGGGGTGAGATTATTCACAGCATCAGCTGACAAGACTGTTTAAATATGGGATATGGAAACATATTTACCCTTAAAAAAGTTAAAAGGACATTAAAGTTATGTTAATTGTTGTTTTCCCTCAAAAAGAGGATAAGATCTATTAGCAACTGGAGGTGACGAAGGCTATACTAAAGTGTGGGATTTAAGAACAAGAAAGTTAGCATTTGAAATTCAAGGCAAGGTAAATATTATTATTAATAAACCACAGTATCCTATTACTAGTGTTTGTTTCACTGAAAATGGAGAGAGACTATACACAGGTTGTTTAGACAATGTCATTAGATGTTATGATGTCAGAAAATAGGAGATTGAATACACCTTAGATAACCATACGGATACTGTTACAGGTTTAGCTATTAGTAATGACGGTTCCTATTTATTGAGTAATTCAATGGATATGACAGTTAGAACTTTTGATATCAGGTATAATGTTAATATTATGTAAAGACCTTATGTCTAAGGAAAAAATAGATAAGTAAGGGTATTTACAGGAGCGACGGCAAATACAGCAGAAAAGAATCTATTAAGATGTGCATGGAGTCACGATGATTCATATGTATCTGCAGGATCTGCTGATAAGAGTGTGTATATTTGGGATTTTAATTCAAAGAAAGTAATCCATAAATTAGGAGGCCATTAAGGAACTGTAATTACTAATTAAATTTACATTAGGTTAATGAAACAGCCTTTAGTCCAAAAGATAAATTGATAGCCTCAGCTAGTAATGATAAAACAGTAATTATTGGAGAAATCCCAGAAGTAACTTTGTGATGAATTATTAAGAAATGATATTCTAAAAATATTTAAATATATTCTCTAATTGATCTTTAATCTAAAAATCAACCATAGTATTTCTTCATTACTTATTCAAAATATTTATTGAATGTAGAAAAGTTTGGTATTACAATTTTATAATTAAATCAAAGCATAATTTGGACTTAAATATTTCTTTAAATTACTTAAATATAAAGCATTATAGTGGTGTAATTATACCAATAACAATTGCTGATTAATTAATTGAGTATTATTTCGTCAGCAGTATTATAATCATAATAAACAACTTTAGACGTAGATGAATAAATTATATTTCCCAAAATAACCCTTAAAAAATTGAATTTATCAACTTGCTATTTGGATTAACTCTAATTTTAAAGAGGCTCTGATTATCTTGGATGTTACCTTATTTAGTAATTTGAAATTAAAAAAATTTAAAGAAATTTGATTTAAAATTTGTGAAATTTGAATGTTCTCTAGATTGAAGTGAGTGGGTTAGCTCATTTAATTAGAATTGTTTGCTTAATGTACATTTATATAAATTGATTTTATTTTAAGTCATCTATAACTCTTTTATCTTCTGGCACGAGCACCCTTACCACCATATTTACGTGGTTCACATCTTCTTGGATCAGCAACCAAAAGAGTTCTGTCATATTGTAAAAGAAGATCCTTGATTTCTCTCTTTTATGTTTCATCAATGTATTTTTGATAGTATGCTACAATACCCTTGCTGATTGCCTTTGTCATTAATTATAAAGTGCTACCTATCTAATGGCATAGATCTAAGCAGTTGTACCACCACCTCTAACAGTGACTCTGATATCGATTCTGCCTGTTCTGACTTAGCCTAACAACAAGAGTGGCTCAAGAGCTTTTTATCTCAATGGGGCAGGGTTGACTAATTCAATAGGAGCACCATTAACTTTGACAATGCCTTGTCATTTATTGTTTAATTATACCTTTTCCTTCTCTAACGCTAGCACTGGCAACTGCATTCTTCTTTCTTCCAAAAGTTTAAACAAGTTTTGATTTCACACTTGGTGTTGACATATCCAATTAAATACTTAAAAAAATATTTAATCAAATTTTCAATTGGTTTTTATATATATAATTTAAATTCGAGTAATTAATCCATTAAACTCTTCAGTTCAGAAGGATCTTATTGTGATAATTATTGTTATTGTATAGTTTTATCAACATTGATTGGTTTAATTGTATGGCTTTAGTTTGAATAAATGATATTGATGAAATTAAAGTAAGATCTAGCTTTCTTGTATCGATTTAATATAATAATATGTACTCAAAGATTTTTATAACATTGGAAGGTTATTCTATAATTGATTTTTTATAGGCCAATCAGGATATATAGCTTTTAATATATTTGTATATTTAAAATCAAATTATATGGTTCTAAATTTTAGAGTTCATTATCAATATTATACAAAAGAGACTTTGATAATTCTTATAAAGAAATAGAAAAAATTGGAAAAATATTTAATAATAAATAACGCAAAAGTTTATATGATTATTTTCTTGTTTCTATTTCAGATATCTTTAAGTAAGTTAATCGCGCCAAGAAGAGTCACTTATGCTATTGATTGTGGAAATTTCTTAGATACGAGATCATCTGCTGGCATTAAGTATAAGAGGGTAATTTAACACTTAACACCTTAAGGATCATCATTATATAGGATAGTCAGAAATAGTAGATTACTATGAAAGAGCTTAGAGAAGAAAAATAAAATTTACAGACGATCAATCCCTTTATCTTACCTAGAGGTAAGGGTAAAGTTTTGCCTATACCATTCCTATAGGGAATGATATTCCCGAGAACCAAACCTATGTTTTAGTTTTGAAATTTGCAGAGGTATTAGGCTCTGAATATCTAGTTATTTTATGAAGAAAGCAATTCCAGAATCTTTAATGTAATGTTGGGGAAGATGATGATTCTATAAAATATAGACATCTTTCAATTAGTAGGAACATTTACTGCTCATACAGAGTATATAGAATTTATTATTGATGAGGGAACAGTCTATTATTAGGGAGAAATCTGTATTGGAGCTTTAAATAGCAGAAATGAATTAATTGTTGGATTTAGTGCAAGTCAAGATTAAGCAACGATTGCAGCTCTGTTTTTATTCAAAGGTCCTTTGAAAGATACAGATTTTGAAGACAAGGAAAGGTTTTAAGAAAGATGGATTTAGAGAAATACTCCTAGGACTAATGAGGAGATGAAAAAGTAAAATTAAGAAAGGGTAAAAAATATTGAAAAAGAAATAGAAGAGAAATAAAGTATTCTCAAAATAAGAGATGGATTTGGACATGAAATCGAAATAGAAGAAGTTAAATAACCGAAAAAATAGATGGAATGGCCTTAATTCTCATTTCAATTGTTGTTTATTTTGATTAAAACACCATTAGGTGCAGTTCTCTTGGTTGGATTTTTGACTGTATCTTTTGTAACTATAAGTTTTGTATTCTTTGATCCATATGGATAAAATAAAATTAAACAATAATATTAAGAAATTAAGAAGTTGAGGGAAATCAAATAGAGCATAATCCCTAAAAAGTCAGTTATGCAAAAAACAGATTGAATTACATTAAAGAACTTTATTATACTAATAAATCAATTGTATTTTTCTTGCTTATGTTATATAATCGAATTATTTTATTTTGCAACATCAATAATTATGAAATCAGTATTATATTTCAATTTTGTGTTTTATACATTACATAATCTTATTTAAAATTAAATAGCTTATTGGTATTAATTTTATATAAATAAATTTGATATGTTATTAATGCTACATGGCATTCTCAAAGTGCAATCAAAATTCATGTTCCATATTACTGAAAGTCTAGAATCTTTGATAATTCAACTAAGTACATCAGAGTGAATGTAAAAAATAAGTATGAAGATAAATGTAAGAATAATAAAGTCATAATATTAATTTTATACTAATTTTAGATTTAGAATTAATTTAAAAATAGAAATCAATAGATAAAGATATTTCTATGAAGATTGTCTGGTTGAATATTTGGTATAAATTAACATATAGAGATTTAATTATTCTAATATTTTACTATAGTAATCAATGAGAGAATAAAATGAAAAACTATAATTTTATATTATTATCAAGAAATGAATAGCGTTTTTAATTTGTTTATTAAATTAATGAAGACTAGTCGTTTTTGTTGTTTAACTATGTGTTTTTTGTATTGATTATTTGCAATAATTTTCTTATGAAATCAATATTGCTGATAGCCTTGATTGCAGTAGCTTTCACAGCTAGAGTGCAAGAAAGAAATCTTGCAAAAGTCACAACAGACCTTAAGAAGAGCACATACGGAAGTGCATTACTCCACTTAGTAGAACTCCACTCTATGGCCGGAGGACCAGTCTAAGAGTTGATTGATGCTATTGAAGAGCTTATCAACGATCTTGAAGAAGAATTGGAAGAATTAGAATTCAATTTCTAAGTCAGAACCAACGAACACAATGCATTAGTGGTTAGTCTTGAATAAGACATCTAAGACGCTGTCATTGGTAATAATATCCATTTATTAAACTAGATGTCAATAACACACAAGACACATTAGATAATTTACTATTCCCAAGAAGAGAGTAACTCTAAGTTAGAATTGAATAAATCTAAGAAAACTAAGAGGGCAACAGAAAGAATTATGATGAAGCAATTCTTGTAAGAGAATAAGAACATGATGATTTCGAACTCTAAATTGCTGAATTAAATGATGCAACTGCTGCAGTCGATGATGCTCTTGCTCTTCTTTAGACACTCACCAACCCATCATTGTTGTAAGTCAAGAGATTCTAAAATTCCTTGAAGAACATCGAATAAAAGATCAAGTCAAGATCCAAGATGGCTCCTATGATTAAGGCCCTTATTTCATTAGCTTCAAACTAAAACTTCTCTGATCAAGGAATTATTGGTAAAATCGTTGATGCTCTTAACGAATTCAGAAATGCTGTTGTTGATTCAATTAATGCTTAAACAGCTGCTGAAGCTTAAGCTTAAGCTGATCACGAGGAATACCTTGAATAATTGGATGAGGAATATGCTGAATTCTAAAGATAAATCAATAGAGTCAATGTTGATTTGACAGCCACCAATGGTATGAGTCAATTTTGATAATTTATAGAAAAGATCGACTAATTGACTGAATTCAGAGATTAAAGAGAGGCCGACAGAAAATAATACACTGCTGAACTTGAATTAGAAAATAACACCTATGCTGAAGAAACCGATACCTACACCAACTTAAAGAATGAATTCACAAGAGAACTTGGAATCAGTGAATAAGCTTTATCTGTTGTCCAAAGTGCTGATTTCTCAAACATCTAAGTTTGAAAGGAATGAATTATTTAGGTTTCTTCTTAATCAAGCACAAATATTTTTCAATTTTTTTCTTTTTTTAATCCTATCACAAATTATCGTTTTTAATAATATTAAAAATATGAAGTTTATAGTCTTAGTATGCCTTGCTTTGATAGTCACAGCAAATGACTATGAATTACTTTCTGAATTATCCCAATATGAATTTGGAAAAACAATCATAGCAACAATGCAAATCTCCCTTTCAAGTGAAGAGTATATACCATATAATAATAATTCCATAGCTCAAATATCGATGGAATCGTACATCAATTGAAATCCATGTAAACTAATGCATAAGGTGACTTAGAAGAAAATACATAGAATTTGAGACATTAACAAGAACTCTGCAATCTTCGTTTTGATGAAATTTAAGGTGTTATTGATTCTGCTTCAGCAAAAAAGGCATCAGATGAACAATCATTCCCACTTAGACAAGAAGAATTGATTGCCAAGAATTAATAACTTAAAGATAAAGTAGGATAAGATTAAAAAATCAAAGACAGATTATCTACTTTGGATAAGACAAGAGAAGAAGATAAAGTATCTATTTTACAATAAATTACTATAGAAAGCATTTGAAGCTAAATAAACAGAATCTGTTGAATTTATTTAAGGATTGAAGAAAGCCAAATCAATTGTTTCATAACTCAATAGTTCTTTTATCTAAGTTGCTGATGTTAAGGCTAAATTACATAAACATTTGGAATCCTTACATAATAAACAAACACCTTATAATGGACTCGTCAAGATGTTAGTAGCAGCATCAGGAGATGAAAATGTTTCTAAAGTTGTTTAAATTATTGATGAATTAATTGAAGTAATCATTCTATTCAATTTTTAAAGTCTTTGGAACATTTATAAAAGGTTGGACATCAAGGAGAAAAAGCCAAAGAAGAACTTTATCTCTTATAAAAAGCAAGATATGAATTAGAGAGTAAGACTCTTGAAACAAGTTTGGCTGATTTGAATGCAGATGCTGAAAAATTGAGATAAAACTTGCTAGAATTAAAAAATGACATTGAATCTAAAGGATAATTATTAGATGTTAAAAGCTAAGAAAAAGCTGACTGGTAAAAGACTTGTGATGATGAATTGAAAGGTCACTAAAATATGAGATAATAAAAGTAAATAATTCTATTTTATCATTAGAAACACTGAGCTTGGAATCATCAACGAATGCATTGAAATTTTCACAAGCAGATTCAACGATGGAATTAAGAGTTACATTCAAAAACTAGAAATATGATTCAAATATATAAACAAATCAAAACATTATTATATTACAATTTATATTCTTGTCTTAAATTAATATATGATATTTTAATTATCAAGTTATACAAACTATTAAATCATCTGTGATATTGATTCCTAGTATTATTAATTAGTAATTAGCCTTTAACTTGACATCTATTAATTGTTTTAATTTTTAATTCATCATTAAAATTATAAATTACAATATTAAATTAGATTAAAAAGTAAAAAGACTGCAATAAAATAATTGGCATTGAAGCTAAAATCTAATTTTGGGAACTTTAATTAGAATTGTGATTCTGATTAATATTAGTTTAATTTTATTTTTATTACAATTACTACAGAATTGCGTATAGAAAATTAGTAACCACACTAATTTATCTGGAACATTGCTAAAATACAGGGTTATTGACGGGATTGAAAAAAATTTAATTAATTATAATGTAAAATTGTAAATAAAGAAAATATATTTAATTTCAACTTCATTTCTACATCTGTTGAACTTTTTACAATGTAGAAAATCATTTTTAAATGCATTTTCTTTAATAAGAAAAATATCAATATTTAAAGTGATCAAGCAATTCTTCTAATTCCTTAGAATAACTTGCATTTCTTGTTCCATCCAAATTTATTATACCTCGATAAATTAATTTACTATCTTTAAAAACACATAAGTTATCTGGCCATATACCAAATGATTCATCAAATAGATTTTAAGGGTAGACATCTTGATATATAGGAAATTCATCTGGAATGTTATACTTAGTTTTGAGTGTTTATGCCATTTAAAATCGTTATTCCTGGCTTTTATGTTAAGGATATTCAAAGCCGAAATATCCTCTTGGCCATCCATCAACGAATTTGCCTTTATCATCTGTTTCAAGAAAGTGAGCCTCTTTTATATATATAAATTGGCATTTGCATGTATCTTTCTATTTTTAGGCAAATTCAATGTAATCTGGCATAGAATCTCTATAAGGAGGTCATGTGTAACTGCCAGCAAAAATAACACACAACTTTTGTTCTTCATGGGCAGATTACAATAATTATTCTAATTGAAGTTCTTTATTTTCAAGTGTCAATAATGGTATAGGAGGAGGTGTTTAGTGTAACTTCACTCTGCTTCCATGCATAACATTATTCCTCCAAAAAAATACTTAAGGCTTAAGTTCAGGATCATTTGAATATTTCCTTGTTAAGGCAAAATATAATTTATGATTAAGAGGGCAATCATCATATCCAAATGACTTAAATAATTCGGAATGTATAGCATGCTCTACAGCACTTGAATGATTCATATCTTTATATAATTATTAGACTTTTGGATTCAATCTTACTTACTAAAAATTCATTATTTATATACCTGTTCTTTCAGAATAAATTCAAAAAACTTTTCTCTATTGTTTGGTAATAGCTTTAATCCATTTTCAGTGGATGCTGCTGTTAATTCGTCGTACGTCGGTGGCTAGTAACAATTTCCAAACCTTGGTCCTTAACCTTCTTGATAGGTATTGGGATCAAACAAACACAGACATTCCTAAATGTAGAATGTTATTTTATACCTCGTCTGTATCAGAATTTTGCATAAATAAAATAATGCAAGTAGATTAATTTAATATCAACTTATATATGAATGTTTTAAATAAAATTATTGGACGAGACTCAGAATTTATTAGATTATAATTCTATTTATTAAAAACAAAAAACTCATATGTAGTTTTCAAATTTAGGGTTTCATATTTCTTTGAAGTTTTAAGATGTAAGTGAATATATATTATATTTTTGCTTTATCTTTAACATTATTTTTTATTGTATTTTAATTGTATCCATTAAAATAATCTAACCATCTATAGTATTCTAGATAGGGTGTGATTTCTATAAAATGAATTGGATATTATATATTCTCTATTGCTTCACATTACTCTGTTTTATGAAATGAATTCATCTCTAATGTTCTATACATGAATTAACATGCCTTTTCAAGCATTTGTATTTCATTACTTATAAAAACTTAAGATATTTTGGGTAATGTTAGTTAAACATGTTATTACTTTTTATGGAGCCATAATTATGTTGTCTTGACAATTATTTCAATAGGCGAAAACAAAATTTATGTAGCCACTATCATTAATAAACACAAAACTAAAAACAAAATTACCAAAGATATGATTTAGACAATTGTTTCATCAATTAACTTTTTCTCTAATGTTTTATGAAACGTGTTTGTAAATGACACGTATTCACTACTACTCAACAACCTATTTATTGTCTTCAATATTTTATTACATAATTAAATACATTTTATACTCGATTAGATTTTCAATAGTGACTATCATTTCCTATTGAGTAACCGAATTATATCGACATTTTAAAGTAGTTCGAAGATTAAATTATTAACATGAAGATATTCCATCAGTCTTCTTTATTTCATACCAATCAGTCAAATTGAATCCAGTAAAAGTTTCATTATAAATATAAAGTGGCAACTAATCAGCTTTAACTGTAAAAGGATGCATAATTAATGTACCATCCTCTGAAACCAAATAAGTTAATTGAAATCCTGTTTCGTTGTTTGATAGATATTACACTAATTTTGAACCTAAAAATGTTGATGAAACTCCTCCTACAAATTTGACATTTTCATCCACTATAGGTAGTGTCATAGACAACCCTATTGTTTAGTATGTAAACACTTTCTAATAATAAATGAATAATCACATAAATATGGAGCTGTAAATTTAAAGGAATAGGAATTATATTTTGTGGCATTGAAATATGTGGATTTTAGCGTTTTATACCAATCTCTCTTTTCAGGGGCATAAGTAAAAATACCTTAGCCTCTATTGACACATGGATATAAGTTATTTATTTTTTATAGGTCAATATAAGAGTAAATATTGGATTGCATTATTAATGAACCTTAATATAATATTTATCCATAGGCTTAGATTTATTCTTATAATTTAATTCCTATTCTTTCCTCTTCAGTCAATGGAAGACTGTAGGCCGAAGTGTTAGAGTAACACATAAAAGAATTTGAGATGTTTGAACCATATTCATTTAGTATTCTCAAAGGATCAGGTATTTAAATCATTCCTTCATATTCCATTTAATAGTTTTTATTAATTTCAAGCGAGCCCTTCATGACTTCCTTTTTGGTTCTTAAATACAATCTATGAAATGAAATGAGAGCATTTCCGTCTAGAATTCAAATAAATCATTACTTAAAGCAAATATTTAATAGAAATAGGATTTATACTTATTCAGCATAAATGATAGTCTTATTTTTGATTAAGTATCATATAATAGATCAGACTCGCCTAAAAATAGGTTATTTAAAATAGACTAATGTGCTAAATTCCATAAAGCGATTATTGTAACAATGAGCAAAACAAATACTGCCACTATTAAAATGAATTAATTTCGTAGTCTTAAATTAGGAAGGCAATATTAGACTAATCGGAAGCACGAATTCAATTAATCTTTATTTTTCATTTTATAATAATAAGATTAATCAGTATTTAATGCGGATTAAGTTAATAAATTATTTGAGTAATTGATTATGAATCTATTTTCAATCATTGAATAAAATGGAGATGGAAAAAATTACAAACTATCATATAGTGGTTTATTTACAGTATGAGAATTGTCTGTATATAATTATAATTGAAATAAAAGATAAATATTTATGTAATAATAATTTTAAAGACACGGAAGTATGGAGCCATTAAATGATCAAAATGCTTAAGGTGGTGGGAATGTTTTAGATTAAAATCTAATAAGGCAAAAAAACTGTATTTTATGGTTATTGTGTTTTTGTTTCTTGTTCTGCACAATATATTTATAAGCATTATGGTAAATTTGAATTTAAATTAATAAGTATGATACCAGGAGTTTAAGTATGTTCAATGAATGGAATAGAAGCTCCTGTGCCTTTTTAGCAAAGTATTATTGCATATTACTTTTTTACTTTATTGTTTCTCTACACAATATATTACGCATTGGAAAATGTGAAACATTCAATAGTTGTTTTTGTTAGATGGCCTCTATTGCTTTATTCCTTAGCTGCTATTATAATAGGAGTTGTTTCAATAATTTAATCATACAGTCTTACTACAAGTGATATCCAAGAAGGCTGGAATAAAATGACTTAATGGAGAAAGTAATAATATTATGATAGTTCATCAAATAATTTATTAGATGAGAATAAGAGAAATCTGATACTAATAAGCATTTATCATTTTATTTATGGGTTTGTGTTTATAATACTTTTCGGATTACTATTTAATTACTAAACAATTATGCCTTAAAATTGGAGACCTCCTTTCTCATCTAGACCACTCATGAAATCAGCTTTAATTTATAGAGAAGGAATGGTTGATTAAGTATAATAACCAAAATAGGATGACGAAGAAAACTAAGAAAAATAATAGGATAAGCCTTTTCAGAATTAAAATTAGAGTGAAATTAGATAGCCACAATAGCCAGTGGATTAGTAACCTTCCACAATATTTCAAAAGAAGAACACTGGTCGCAGAGTCTTTGGAAAGCAAGTTCAAAATTCCCAAGTTTAATAATAATCATAATAATAATCACAATTATAACAATCATAAATACCCCCTCAACCAAATTCAAAACAGGATTAGCCAGATGACGAAGCTAATTAATAGCCATTTTGATAGTCTAATACATATTTATCAAATAAAATTTTATAACAGATAAAATTTATTATATTATCTGTTAATTTAATGTTGTCTGCCAATCTTATAAATCATAGAAGTGTTTTAAGAGAGAAATCTCTTAACTTTTTAAATGTTCCAATAGCTGATTACCTTGTATACTAAATAATTATTTTAACTAGACTCAATAGAAACCAATAACCGAAGATTCATAATATAAAGCCTTTTAAAGAAATCTTTAACTTTAAAAGCAAATTCTCAATGAATAAGATGATGTTCATCAATATTAGACTGAATTATTCACTAAATCAGTCAAATAAGAGAGAGTGCCAATCATTGTAAATCGTCCATCAGTCCAGCATTTTAAACCAACTTTACCCAATAATTTTGCCATTCCTAATAGAAAATCAGAAACAATTATAAAATAAATATCTAAGATTGATGATGATTTAGATCAATTAGCTTAAATCTTCTATTAACGTAAACTTTTGATGAAAGCGTACAATGCTTTAGAAAAGCATGCTGAAAGAAAGAACATACAAATTGCTGATGAACATAGACAGCTTTAGATATTTAAAGCTTTCTTCCAATAATTACAAAAAAAGTAAATGATCTAGAATTTTAAGAAAAGCCTTAAATAAAAATGAATCACTCTATATTATGAATTTAATAATGTATATGCACTTTTGTAAAATTTTGGAAATTATATTTAATTTAAAATAAATTTGCACAATGTTTTTTGTCCATGAAACACCAGAGATTATTGATAATGTTCAATTCATCAAATTAAAAAACAAAGAAGGTCTTGCATAAGAAGATCAGTAGTTCTTATAAGATTTGGAAAAGTAATAATCCTAATCTATTTGTTAGATCAAGGAGTGAAGTTAAATACATATTAACTCATTAAAACATAAAGACTTTAGTTGAAAATCGAGTATCATTATTGACAAAGAAAGATGCTCTTGATAATTATCTCAAGACTAATGTTGATATGGTATGATAATACAATATTTTGTAGATGAGATTGTACTTAATCAAAATTAAGGAACACCCAAAATTCAGTTACAAGCTTACAATAAATAAGAAATAATAGCAATACAAAACCGAATCAATAAATAGTATAAATAGAATATATTAATATTATAGCTGCTGAAGAAGCATGCGGATGTGAAATTGTGATGGTCAGATATATGTATTTATTGGGATTCAATAACTCTGCAACCCCACATGTCTTAAGACTAAGGTATTCAATGTTATCTACTCCAAATAATATCGATTTAAATGATATATAAGAAGGTCTAAAAGTTGTATCAACTGGATGGATGCCTTTTTAAAGATTATGCAACGTCATGGATGATTTATTGCATTTCCTTGTCACAAAGCAACAGTAACTGATTCCTGAACTAAAAATGACAACCATTTTTTCTTTTAAATTGTTAATAGAATGCAACATGAATTTCTTTTATTTAGAAACCTTCAGACTTCAAAAATAATATGAAAGCATGGTCAGAGTTTGTAAGTCAAGCTATACTAAACTAATTGATGCTCACAATAGATTATCTCAAATTAAAGATGAAATACATCCAGAAATACTTGAATATTGTTTGAGTGGATAGAAATATTTTAAAGTTTATGGTATTTGGAGTATCTTATTAAAAAATGAGAGTGATATCCTATTTGATAGAACTAAAAACAAAAGCTATACCATTTTAACTGCTGAGTGTCATAAAATCGCTAATCAAATTGTATAAATTGCTTAAGAAATCTCTTCAATCAAAAACATTAACGAATATGATAAATTTACCTTAGGATTTATTTAAAATGTTGTCAATCCAACTTTATAAAAATCTTTATCAGTCTATAGTTAGAGTGCTAAATAGCCATGTCAATTACCAGATTAATTGCTCGTCTAAGCTGAATCTCTAGACTACACAGATCAACTCAAATAATGAAGTTTATATAAATTATAAATCGATAAAATATAAAATAATTAAATAGTATATTTTCTTAATAAATTTAAATAAGAGTAATTTAGTGATAATATTCTTAGTGTAATCATTTCTTTTATTAAAGGATTTTTTAAACATTAATTATCAGGTCTTGTTTAAACTGAAAATTAACTTTCATAAAATCCTTAGGCAGACTTTCTTCTTCATCCTGACTCTATGCGTCTTCATCAAGTCTGAACGATTTAATTTTTCTAATTGATGCTAGTTTTGCCTTGGAAGTTATAGAATTGCTTGGCTGAGTCAAAGTTTTCAATTTCCCTGATAGTGAATTCTTAGTGGTGAACAGAGAATAACTCTCCTAACATTATTTTCTATAATATTAGGAGTTATCAACTCTCAAATCATTTTCTAAATTTTCTGAATCGGATGAAAAAATCATCATTAAACCTTTCTTCTATTGAATTTTTATTGATCTAATTGGTTAAATATTTGGCTCTGCTTCAACTTGGTAATTTAAAAATTAAGCGTCTTACATTTTTACTTATATATAAATTTATATTAAAATCTGCTATTATATTGCTTTAATTATTGTAAGTTTCAAAATTAAAATTACAATGGAGTATTAAAAGTTAGTCAATCCGATTAATAATATTTAATGAATTATTGGTTATTATAAAATTAATTTATAAAGAAAAAACACAAAGAAATCATTTATTTTTACTAAATTATTTAACCAATTGCTTAATCTTTACTTCTCTCTTCCAAATACGTAATACATCATACATCCTTGATTTAAGTATCATTTCTTTCATCAAGGTAGTAACCTTACTTAAATCAATCATTTATCCAGGAGGTGACCAAGGAGATGCAAGCGAATCAAGTAGTAGCTTTAATTTATGTTAATTAATACCTTAAGACATATGGTAGAATTTGACAAAATTGCATATGATAAGGGAGTTAATTCATTGCAATCCAAACTATTTAGATAACTTCTGTTTTAAATAAATAATTTGGTCATAGCAAAATTACTTTAGATGCACGCTAAATGCAAGGGGGTTTATCCATGCTCTTGTTTACTTTATTTAAAATACTTAGTTTCGAATATGCACTAATTAAGGATCTTGATGCAACTCATTTTTGATTTATTCGAACTATTTGTCTACGACTTTCTACAAAAATGTTCGATTATATGTAATCGGATAACAAAACCATAATTTGTATTTCAACATGTATTTTACAACCTAAATTATTTCTTTAATAATTCTCTAAAACTTTTTTACGATTCTGCTATTTCTTTTTCTGCCAGAGGTTAATTATAGTTATTAAGCTGTATTAGCATACGAAATTAAAATCTTTCTATCAGTAGAGATAATAGCATTCTGAATTTTCTATTTTATTGTCTTCAATTGATTTCTTTAATCAGATGTACTATTATTGAGATCCTATTTAAATCTTGAAGTATTTATTTTGATGAGAGTTTTCTTTATATTACTTTAGCTTTGATTCTCTGGTTTTATTTAAGATAAATTTAAATTAAAGCCTTACTTGGTTTTATCAACCTATCCATTCGAATTCACTTTGTGAAAGGATAGAAATTTAACTAATCGTATTCTTGCTGATTCACCAACTTATTCTTCAACGAATTTCTCTTCTACTATCGGAACGACTTCTGATTTATCCTTCTCTTTACTTTATTCTTGACTTCTCTTGTTTGAACTTTTGATGTTGAAAAAACGAGTTGTTGATATTGCTGATGATTACTTATCAACAATATTTAATAATTATTTCAAAGTCCATTTCTTTGGTTGCTTGACTATTTTTGGTTCTTTATGTTACAAGAAATTGGTGTAAAGCTGTTAATTTTAGAAGGAAATAAATACATCTTAAGATTTTGCTTAGTGTCTCAGAAATCTAATTGTTAAAGGTTCCTTATTTAAGGTCCCTGCACTTAGTTAAGGTTTCAAAAATAATGGCTCTTTTTTTGTTTGCATAAAAATAGAAAATAAAAATTTATTTAATTATAATCCTTAATAAATAGAGAGTTCAGGTTAAATTTTCTTAATCTTATTGATTCATTATAAAGATGATACCGAATAGATATCTACATTAGGCTATCGATATTAGAAATTCGAATGAAAAAAACATTAAAGACGGTTAGAAGATCTTGGTATGAAGCATAAATTACTTAATAATCTTAAGCATTCTATTGTAATGTCTTCTTCTTAAGAGCTTTTAAATAAATATATCAATATTTGTTAAATAGTTTCTAGATTTCTAAAACAATAAATTGTGAAAATACAAGTGTAATTGTAGTTAGAAGAAATTTTTTATGATTAGTAAAAGGTATCAAAACAATAAATGGAAAGTGTTTGTTCAATACTTTAAACACTTTTTATAAGGATAGTAATTTCTTAGACTTTTTAATTTATGTTTTGATGATTAATTATTAATTTTTTCAGTTATGAATTAAGTCGATAATTTGCTGAAGCTATCTTTAACTAATAAGAAATCTTAACTATTAGAGAATAACTCAAACGCTGAAGTTTTAAATTAATGGGAATAGAAATTATTGCAAAAAGAATAATAAGTATCTTATATCATAATACTTAAGTATAGTTAATATAAAAGGAAAAGAAGTTGAAAGAAAAAGAGAATTAATTATCATAAAAGGAGGACTTATTAGTTAAAAAGGAATTAGATTTAAACGAGAGAATGATGAAATATTCTGGTATTTTAGAGTAGATTATTGCCCAGAAATAAACAAAATCAGATGCTTCATTATTACCATTAAACTCTAACGATAGATCTTATAGAAACAAAAATATCAATGAATACCAAAACAGAGTTATAAACTTATTAAACACTATAAGAAGTAATAGTTAATAGTAGCAATAATTGATCCATTAACAATCCTACATGGGAAGTACTTTAGAATTAACTGATGATAGATTCAATAAGAGTTCCAAGGGGTTTTTATTATTATGAAGATTACTATATAATTCAATATAAATAATTATAAGCAAAAACACTAAACAGAATGATAAGTTTTTTTTCATTTTCTTTTTTATTTATAATATGATTTTCCAATCTATTGTTATTGCAAAATGTCCAGCTTTATTGAAAATTCTTTATTCAAAGTTTAATTATTACTTAGTTCACTTTCCAACCTAGTAATACGCGGAGGAGTTTTGTTGATAAGGAAAGATGTTTTGGGCCCATAATTCAGAAAAGATTTATCTGGAGACTTGTTTGGGGTTCTTCCTTCAATTTTAGGGGAGTTATTTTATCTAAAGTTTTGTCGATCAAATCTGGAGTTTTCAAGTAAGGAGAACTTTTAAAATCCAGTATTATTGAATTGAGAGAGAGGTACTTATTGAATTAAATGGTTTAAGATAGTTCTAGCTGATTTAAATGGTTATAATTGAATAGGAAGACCATCTTAAAGTTTTAACATTTTTTCATTGACTCTTTCGCAACTATTATTAGTTGATGCATTCATAAATTTAAATTTTTATTTTGAAGTGATACCAAATGGTATCTAGTATTTTCTTTTGTAAATCATCTAATCCATCATATTGGCTTAAGTCTTAATATTATCACTTATATTACTGTTATTTTTAAGTGGAGATAACTAACCCTAAAATGAGTTAACTAGTCTTTCATTATGAGAAGAATCTTTAAGTTTTTATTAAGCTATATTCTATAGCAATAACTAATTTTCTCGTTAGGTTTGAATTTGCAATTATTTAAACTATTTCAATTTTAACTCTTTATAATTAAAATCTGATATCATCGAAGTAATTGATTCTTCTTGAATAGTATCTAAATTAGAATTATAATGTTTATGATAAGTAGTAATGAGATGATTAATATATTGAGAGGAACAAGCAATATGTTTACATGCAATTTCAATAGCTTTTAGATGATATAACTCACTTAATTTAAATTCTTCAGTATTGATTTCTTTGATTCCTTATTGCTTTGCTTTTTCTAACTCTATAAATCTTAATTCGGTTGCAATAGTGAAGTATGAGATTGATAAATATATTATTTTTTCCAATAACAATCTTTTGGATATCTCATATAACATTTCACCTTATTATGTTATTTCACTATAAATTAATGGAGCCATATGCATAATATAACTAATATTAAATGATTAGATCCACTCTTCAACATTTTGAACTCCTAAGATTGAGCGATAATCATCCTCTTTGGTGTTTAAATTTAATTCTTTTCGGATATGTTTTTCGTTGTTTTTTGGATTATTCTTCCAAAAATACAATTGCTTTTTAGCTTCTCTCAAAATCATCTATTCATCATTTGACATATTATCTAAATCCTAGTAATTCAACATGTCTAATAATATATCCTTTCCTGAATTAATTACTAATCTACTAAATTCAACTTCATCTTTCATTTAAAATTTATTTTATTTTTGCTTCGATTTATTGTTCAAATAAGAAGTATTGGTAGTTACTGATTCTGAAAATTAATTGTTGTTAATCCAATCTTTGCAAAATTTCCATGTCTTTTAAAACACTTCCCTCATGATTTCTGCTGCTTTTCTTGCTGATTATAAAGCCTATTTATGTCTAATTATTTAATTAGGTATTACTTTCCCAATTGACTCAATATAGCAGTATGTTATAATGAAGCTCTTGCTAGAAATGATTTTTTTTTTACTAAAGTTGAATCATTTTCTTATTAATTCGTCACATTAATTGAAATTACATCTTTATCTTTCACACTCTCATTCAAATTGTATATAACTCCAGTCAAATAAAATGAGCATTTAGATAAAATCCATTAACTATTTTAATAAATTCTAATCCTTACCAATGATAGATGCTAGCCTAATTGTAGAGTATGACAATAATCAGATCTCTATCTATTTATTTGCCACAATTTGCTGCGTACTATTATATTATCTACTGATCGTACTTCCAACATCTTTTCAGATTATTACAGTAATAATAGGGCTTCCTAATATTTTTAAAGTTTGATTTTGAAAACCCCTTATTCATTAAGTTAATTGATTTGTTTCATATACTATTCTAATTAAGCAGGAGTTTATAAAGATACCTTAGTTTTCAAATAATTCTTTTAATCCATTTTATTCAATGTCTTCCACTGGTTCATTTTCTAATTACTTGTCTTCTTGTTCGTATTCTTATAAATTTTTAATTGACATTAATTCAAATAATCAATAATTGAAATAAATTATAAATGTTTTGTCTAATACCAAATAATTTAATTTATATAGATTTCAAACATGCTCAGCAGTTTTCTATGATTTAATTGAATCATAACACTCTTTCAAATCAATTTAAAAATATTATTGCACATCGTTTAAACACCAACTTTATTGTTATCTAAAGATTTTAATATCATCATTAAAGTTCAAATTCAATTAATCTACCTTTTCTTTGTTAATTCTAATTTGCTATTACAGTTCGTCTATTTATGATTTGTAATTTTGATTATTGATTAATTGAGAATCTTTGTTGATCTAATCCTTTAAGTCCTTGTAAAGATTTATCAACTTGATCGCTTGATCATAATCTTTAATGCTCGCTTCCATCCTGTAAATATACTTTTATCTTAATTTAATTTCATAGCTCTCGTAGATCTTTATGATAATTTTTAGCATATTAAATTCTTCAGTTCCCTAACACTCATTCACTAAAATTACTTATATCATTTACTAAATATATCAAAACTACTTGATAACGATCTTGTTTAAGTTTGTAATTTCTAAACTATTTTCTAAAGATCCAAAGTTATGATTTCAGTATTAAGCTTATTTAATTCGAATTCTTTCCTATCTCAAACAATATCATGAGTAATTTACATTCATCAAATTATTTATCAAGATCATCAGGAATTCTTGGGAATATTTGAACATTGTTATAATTGTAAACTCTTTAGAACATGTTCATAAATGATAATCCTGTATTGATAACCTTATTAATAACTGATTAAGACTCTCTCATATTGTCAATATATTATTAAAATGCCTCATATTCCTATAGAATAAAAATAAATTGATTAATTACTTTTAATTCTTCGCTAAAAAATCGTTCTATGCAATCAACTGATTAGAATTTTTTATGACTTAATATTTTTTACATAAAGTAGACAAATTCTAATTTTCTATTTGATTATATTTATAATTGATTACCTTTTATCTTTATCGTAACCAGTCTATTTTTCAGGAAGACTGGGAATAATTCTGCCTATTAATTTATTTTGCAATTCATTTTATAACCATAGGAAATGTGTATATCTATTGGTTTAAGATTATTTTTTTAATACCTTCTAACAAAATCGTGTGACTTTTTTTTATCTGTTAACAAATCAATTTTAGTTATTGTAAACTTATATTTAACAGTGTCATATCCTCTTAGAAGATTCAATATGGAATTTTTACATTTAAGAAGTTTCTATTTCAGTTCCAACACATTTAATTTCGTATTGAACGCGAGTTTCTTCAATCAAATTTCCTCTTTTGACTACATCGAAAATGGCTTGAGAAGTTGTGATTAGATCATAATTGTCTTTCATTTATTTTTTATAGAATTAATTATCAAGTGAAAAATTTCTTCTTCAAATGAGATTAGGCAAACACTTATTTAAAATTAAACTTTTGACGTTGAGAAGTGGCATTGTCATTGAAAAAATTATTGGCGAAAGTGAAATTACGATCATCATCCTTTGGAACAGGATCTTCAATTCTTGGCAATTTGGTTCGTTTATTATAATTTTGAGAGACAGACTACTTTACTTCAATTAACTTTGGCTTATTGGCATCCTATTAACTTTGAAGTTAAATATGAGATCTTGAATTCTTTTTCAAATCGTTGAAATCTAATCTAATTTTGGTTTTATGTGATCGAGTCAAAGTATCAATAATCTTCTGTTTTTGGTTCAATGATTTTTTCAAGTTCTCATTTTCTCTCATAATTAATTATATCTAATCAATCGGAGATCCATTTAACATTTCAGTGGAGACTCTGTAAGATTTGAAAGCCCTTAATTATGGAGAAGGAGAGTGACTAAGTTACGGATTATAATACTTTGAATCATTGTCATTTGTAGAAGGAGTGACTAGGGCCTATTTTAGAACTTGTGGTATCTCAGTAGGTAATGAACCTCAGAACTTAAAGAGATTAATTACCAATTTAAAGTCTGAAAGAATGAGGTTTTGGTTTAAAAAGCTGACAGTTCAACTCATTGAAAACTCCATAAGATTTAGAATGATGTAAATCCATTATTATTATATAAATAATTATTTTTTCATCATTGTTTGCATTTGTTATATCTCTTTTTAATCATACTTCAAAATTTTTTTCGGTTTCATACTGTTCACATATGTATTTTAAAAGTTCAACTTTGACTGAATCAATTAGTCTCATTTTTCAGGAATCGATAACTAATTTCTATAGAATATCCTTTTTAATGTTATTCCCAGTGAATTCGATTTTTCAAGTACTATTCTGTATTACAAGGTTAAATACTTTGAATTTTATTTTTAAGAGAAAATACTTTTCTTTTAATCATTTCTTATTGGTTCCTATAATTTATCCAGTCTATTGGCACATTAAACTACTTCTATGGTAATTAGAATTACAAAATTTCAATGATGAATTTATAAATCCTGCATAGATGTGTTAGATAGTGTATCATATATTCTATTTTTGAGATGCAAAAACACAATTAAGTGTTCCAAAATACATCTACAAATTTCACAATATCATGTATAATTAAAATTAGAGTGATAGATAATTAGAAAGTTTTTGATCATTCTTAATTTTAACTATTAAAAGTAAAGGTCACAGAAAGTTATTCGACAATCTCTGATGAATTTAGAAATGAAGAGTTTAATTTCTAAATCAAAATATCCCATTTATAAACCCTTTTATATTTTTGACATTGAATTGCATTATTATTTATCAATTTATTATTTGAAAGAGAAAATATTCTAAAGATAACATTACATGAATTCTATTATTGATTTTTATGTCTTGATATTTCTAAATACTTTATGTATTGAATTCATAAACTAAATTTCTTATTCTTATTCTAATTATAAATTTCTATTTTAATAAGTATACCAAAGGACTTTGATTCTATTGCTGGATGTTATTATTGATATTATTGTTCAATATATTAGTGCTAGAGTATGATAAGATTTTAGTCACTTTGAATGATATGTTTAATCATGCAAAATATATCAAATTTTAAATAAATAAAATATCCTTTTAAAAAAAAATATTATGGCTGAATAAGAATCTGTAGCTACAGTCAAATTTGCAAATCAACCTAAATTATTCGGAAAATGGGATTACGATGAAGTTCAAGTAACAGATTAATGCTTCAAAGATTATATTGCAGTTCAAACATCAAAATCACGAGTGTTTGTTCCTCACACTGCTGGAAGGTATAGAGATTGAATATTATCGTTATAGATATCAAAGAAAGAAGTTTAGAAAGGCTTAATGCCCAATAGTTGAGAGATTGGCTGGAGCACTTATGTTTCATGGCAGAAATACAGGTAAGAAAGTAAAGGCTGTGGCAATAATCAGACATGCATTTGAAATTGTTCATTTGTTGACAGGCAAGAATCCACTTGCAGTGTTGTCACTTGCAGTCTAAAGAGGTGGAGCAAGAGAAGATTTCACAAAAGTAGGAACTGGTGGTGTTGCCAAATAATAAGCTGTTGATGTTGCTCCAATTAGAAGAGTTAATGAGGTAAGGATATCAATCATAATGAAAGGCTGTTCACAATTTGGCCAAAGGTGTTAGAGATTCTGTATTTAAGAAGATGAAAACAATCGCTGAAGCCTTAGCTGATGAATTGATTGCAGCATCCAATGAAGACGGATAAAAGTCATACACTATTAAAAAGAGAGACGAATTAGAGAAAGTTGCCAAAACCAATCGTTGATTTAGATTCATTAATTATAGTACAATACAAATAAAGATAATTAATTAAAATGAGTTCGTATATAATAGCAGGCAGTTCCGATAAAGTCGATACAGCCGAAGTACTCTATCTTGATGTTAACATAATAGTGTGAGAACATGGCCAATCTGATTAGACAATACTACCCAGAAATCTCATTCAAGATTGTATTGAAAGATCTAACTTAATGGGAATAATATGCTGATGAGATCTGCAGAATCTATGGATTTAAATAAAAGAGCAATCCCATCATATATACGATGGATGGTTGTCTAATTGGAGATAGAAATGTACAACCATGCAAATCATCTAGGCATTTATTGCATTGGCAGAGAGTAGATTCGGTTTCTCAGATCCCAAGTTAAGACAAGGTCCCATCACTCCAGATGTCAATAAGAAAATAGCCAAACAAGAATTGGATCAAAAGTTAAAATTGCAGAGGGGCAAGAAAACTTTGATAGAGAAAATAGAATAACAGATGCTCATCATCTATTCTAATAATATTGTTCAGCCTACAGATGGTGTATTCAAATAGTCATTCAAAAGTGGAGTCAAGGAAAAATTGAAGACTTGGTATGATTCACTTAATAATCTAATACGAACAGATGTAAAACGAAACTTGTCAACTGACAGTATCTACTCATCTAGTTTTAGAAATGGAATGAAGGTGATTCCTCTCTTTTATTCTAGTTTCTCTATAAGTTCGATGATAGATTGAGACCAATCAAAAAATTACAAGAATCTCACTATTTCGAAGAAAACAAAGAAGCTATTCAAGAATCTAATTATGTAGATGTTGAAGTCAAAGAGGATGGTAAATTAGTAATCAAACAAATCTTATGGTTTAGTGAAACAGCCAGGTTCCTTACTTTGGAATAAGAATAACTCTAATAACAACTACAAGAATTGGCATAACAGAGAGAGAGGGAACAATCTCATAAGAATAGTAATATATTATCTAATCTTATTCAGGCATGATCTCACCTGATATCAGAAGAGACACTAATGAATTAAATGATACCAACTCATCTCCAAAGGCGACAATTCAAACTCAACCCATTGTTGAGTAACCGAATGAAGAGGGAGAACTAGATGCCATAAAAAATGATTAGGTTGAAGAACCTTTATAGACTGATCAATAAGGCGCAGATTAATAACAAGAATAAATCAATCCTACTAATGAACAACAAGAATTAGATTAAGTATAATCAATTGGAGGGGGACCAGTTTTGGATTTACAGGAGGATATTGAAACTATCCTCAACAATAATTAAGAAAAGCCTGATAAAATTGATGTCTCTGAATTGTTAGTCCATAAATTTAGAAATGACTATGCCTTAATTTTACATCCATTCCCACTAATGGATGGTTAAATGTTGTTATGCAAACCTGTTGATAACTATATCGACGATTATAGTTGTATTAAAAGAGGGAGAATAAATTCATACAAGAAAAGCAGTGCATAAACAAATTGTGAAGGATTGTTTGAGCACTAAATAGATATATTCAAATCAATTACCATCTAAGATTGTGAGATTGCCACAAAAGTCATTAACAAATGTGACGCTTTGGTTGTTTTGAATATCCTTCCATAAGATTTAGAATCCTTTTTACCCTTATCTAATGGTCACTATTCAGTTATTCTTAGATAACATGCTGAATTGAATAAAGCCAATAAGAAACTGTTTAAGTTTCTGAATGAGAAGAAAGTATAAGTTAATTATAAACAACTAATGCCAATTGAAGAATTTATTCTTGATCAAAGAAGTCAATGTTATGAAATTCAAAGAGAAGTGTTTAAACGTAAAATTAACATAATTATAATATAGTTAAATCTTTGGATATCCATCATTATTTTGCATTCCCTCCTTAGATTCTAACAGCAGAATCTGTGATGGATATAATATTGAAGATATTGTCAATAATTATGGATTATGATCATAGTATTCTTATTCTTAATCTTTAGCTGCCGCTCTGAAAATGGGATTCAATTTGTTAATAAGCAAACACTTAATATTTTTATGTCCAACATTTTCCAATTATGATAATATAGATGGATTTAAGTTACATCTTCAAGCTTTTACAGCTATGGGCTTTCTCAATCTACCAACAGGAAGTTCCTCAATCAATTTCTTTGATTTATTGTAAAAAGCACAGGAAAAAAGTTAATAATGATCATTAATAAACATTATATATATATAATAAATCATCTGAATTAATATTCTCCACAGTAAATATAATCTATATCATCATCCCAAGTTGTATATTATTTGTCTATTCTATATAAATCCAGAATTCGAGAATCATAGATATATTAACAATTATACAAGGCTTCAATCAAACCAGTTTAATCAATTGTTTAATTTAAAAACTCTGCCTCTGTTTTATAAATCTGACTTTATTTAATTATTAGATTTTGGTCATATTTAGTTTACTATCTCTAAAATCTACTTTAACCTTGTTAGTTATTGTCCATATTGAATTCCATAGCTTTACTTGTTTTTCTTCTATTATCGTTTTCATCAATCTTCTAATAAGTAATTAAATCATTTTCAACTTGATTTAGTATCTCATCAATCTATTCCTGATTGGATAATAGATCTTCTCTATTTTCCAACCCATTTCGATTTGTCTCTTCAGATTACCTTCTATTCTCACTAGATTTATCCTAATCAGACATTTGATCACTGACCATCTACCCATCCGTATTGATTCTGTAGTTCTTCTTATCAACCGGTTAACCATTAGCTCCAAGAATAGCATTTTTCCTGCTTATCATTTTTGCATCCCTCTTTGCTCTTCTCCTTGTATCTGTACCTTTATCACCCGTCCCATTTTCACTTGGTTCTTCATCATCATCAAAATAATTTATATTAGCATTCTTTTCCTATTGATCTATGATATCTTCAATACTTAATTTAGTATATTTTCGAGGTATTTAAGTTTTAGAATCCTTTAAATCTTATTTACTATTTTTGTGTTTCTATTTTTATTAGTCAACTTGGATTTGTTAAATTTATAATTACTCAATTGGATTTATGAGTTTTGATTATCTTGAAACTGACCCTTTAGTAGTTCTGTTCTATTAGGCATTTCTTTTCGATTGACTGATTGCTCCAGAGACTTCTGATAGGTTCTCACAAGATTACTGAGAGGTTGAATAATTCTAATCTTGATCACTAAATTAATCAGACAATAATTGCATTATCTAACTTTGTTCAGCAGTATTAAATGATTCATCAAAATTGAATAATAGATTGATTCTATTGCTCTTTTGTAATTTATGAGGTTGAAACCAGTTAATAAGCATTTCCATTCTATTCTTAAAATCAAGATCAGGCTCAGCTACTGGTAATACATAATATTCATTATAATCCTAATTCAAAAGCATGAACTCTTTTCTTAACTTTACTAATGTAATCACAGCCTGCTTCTTTTCCACTTATCTTACATATCCTTTGTGATTTTGCAGTAACTTCACTACCTAATTGTATATTTCCATGATCTTCTCCCTTATTTCAATACTTTTTGTTTGATTTTATTACTGAGGCTTTTTCAAATAGTTTGGATACATGTCTAAATCAGGGGCACTTCTACGTGGATCTCGAGATATCATGAAGTGATTCTAAAAGTTTTCATTGCTATTGTTGCGAATACGCTTCATAGGACTTTCTTTGTTTTTAGTTGTCGTTGTGGCATCGAGTGGCTTATATAAGCAATTAAACATTTCCACTTCGTTGAGAGGAACCTAATCTATTTTCATAATGCTGGAATAGTGATAATATGAGGAGTTTTTATGATGAGTTGAATGCAAAGGAGTTGTTGGCTATAGCATTTTAGATGTCGGAGACTGAGATGGGTTCAAGGATCTTGCCTTTGAATGGTGAGTTGATCGTTCACGAACGTGATTCATTGCTATTTGTGGCAACTTAATCTTAGTTACTGTAGCTTTAGACTTAATAATCATTATATAAATAAATTATATTCGCCTTAAAAAGATTATTATTTCTTTTTCATTTGTCTCTATTATTCTTAACAAAAATCCATAATTTACCATCAACTAATAATAAACCTCCTTAATCTGATTTTGGTTTAATTAATATATAATTTTATAATGCAAGATTTCAAAAGAACTAAACGTGAGACTTCTTGTAATCAAATTTAAAGCCAATTTAATTAGATAATACATAAAGAACAGAGGATTTCTCAATCATCAATGGATTAACTGATACAATCAAGTAAAGTGATCATAAATTTGATGAATAAGCTAGTCAAACCTAGGAATACTAATAGAAGTAAAATGTACTCCTTCATCTTGTAATTCCTCTTCTCTAAAATAACCCTAACCAAAAATTCAATTGGACATAGAAAAGTCATAGTATGAATCGCAAATAGTCGAATCTTTGGGGGATTCATATCCTGGATCTGAGATTATAGCCCTTATTGAGTATCTTTTACATCTAGATTTATCTGAACATTATGGTTGCTGGTTAGTCAGGATTGGGGAATCCACTTTCATTGATATCTTACTCAAAAAGATGTTAGGCAATGGTCAAATCATACGAGATTCGACTCTACAAATCCAAGAAATATAAGGTTACTTCATTCATTCAAAAACAAAGGTATCCTCAACCAAAATGATTTAACTTTGAATATCAAATTTATTGACACTCCTGGTTTCAAACGTCAACACAGTCTCAGATCTTGGCTTAAGCTACTGTGTGGATACATTGAGATTTAATTTAAGTCTTATCAACAAAGATAAAATCAATAATATGAAAAAAAAGAGAAATTTTAGTAATTGTCTTAATAAGATTTGGATGAAAGAGTGCATGTATGTTTTTACTTTTTCTCTGGCCCTAGAATTTAAACTGAAGATTTGTAAGCACTCAAACAAATAAGTGAATTGGTGAATGTTATTCCCATCCTAGCAAAGGGAGATTAACTAGCTTAAATAACAATTTAATGATTTGATTAACCATTATCATATTGATTTGTTCAAATTCTAATGCAATAACAACTTCCAAGAGAAAAGTCAATTTGGACCTACACCTTCTTATGTGATCATAAGATCAGTAGAATAATTTCAAGTAGGAAATTTCCTCATCTATGGAAGGTAATAAATGAAAATATTAAATATAGAAAGTTTCCTCGGGGAATCTGTGATATCTTTAATCCTCAACATTCTGATTTGATAATCTTATATAAATCCTTAATTGGCCATTACTGTTTAGAATTGATTAAATTAACAGATTTCCTTTATAACGATTATATACAAAAAGAGAAATAAAAATTGAAGTTAAAATAGTAAAATTAATCTTGGTTGGCTAATTTGATAAGTTACATATTTAATAAATGAAATGAAGATAAAATGAATTATATAACCAAAATAAAAATCAATATGTATTTATATTATTAATAAATAATAAATCAACAATTTGCTTATGGCTACTCCTCCTATTTTTGTTCATGTGACTCCTTTTCCTTTTCTTGCTTCAAATAATTTAGATTTAATCTATGAGTATTTCCAGAAGTATATTTAGGACTTGGCTATTTCGGTTTAGGATTTGACAATCTCACTGGTCTATCAGGAGTCCAATCTGGCACTGTTCTTGGAACATAACTATATTACGCTAACTTTTATGATTAAAAGTCATCCAATTTATATCTACTATCATATTTCAATAATACCTAATAGTTTGCACTCTCTTAGACACATTCTAAGAATCATTATCCACGAATGATTATTTATTGGATGCATTCTAATATAATCTTTTTGATGTAACAAAACCAGCTAAACCTTGGGATGATGGTTTTTCAAATGTTCTTATTTATTACCTTTGTTCTCTCTCATTCTAAAATAAATCTGATATATAGTTTTGAAGATCCCCTTTCATTCTGTTTGCTTTTTGAGACTTTCTTTCTTCTAGTACCTGTCTTTCTTCATAAGGTGACTTTAATTATTATTATGGATTTGGAACATAATTTTTCAAGTTTTATGCTGCCTTTTGAGGAGATATCTAAATTTAAGATTCAATGATAAAGGAGGATTTAAGGGATATTTGACTATTTCCTAAAGAACCTTTATTTTAGAGACTACTTTGAAGTAAATTACCTGTACTTCCATAAGCACCCTTATTCCTAGAATATGAATAGGTAGAATCAATATAACTTCGTTTAGCCTTAGATGGATTACTGCCTTCTTCTTCTTCGTTATTTTTTTATTGAAGTTTGGTAACATGAAGTTCTGGTTATTTGACTTCCGATTTCTTAGCTAAGAATTATGCAAAACAATCTTGTTCATTTTGAACTACATCTTATTTTTCTTTCTATTTTTATCCCTCATTGACTAGACTATCCAGTTTCTCTTGTAGTTTTTCTAATGTTTCACAATTATTTGCTATTGATTATACTCTTTTATTTGGTGCTGTATCTAATCCTCTTGAAGCTTCTTTAGGCATTTCACCATTATCCAACATAGTCAAAAGTTATAGTTTCTCATTAATGATTTGTAATTTGTGATCATTTTATTTGTATTTGTACTCCCATTATTCCCAAGCTTTGGAAAAGTTTTCTTCATTTAATGTAATGTCTTTAAATACTTAGGTTCTATTTATTATATTTCAATAATCTTACAAATCCAATCCTTTAGCATAATCTCCAAAATCTTCTATAGCTAAAACATCTTTCCCTTCCTTGCATAATGATTTAAAGGCATCTGCAGGATTTTTGAATTTAGATGATAGATTCTTCTTTAATTGAACCCATTAATTTGAAATTGCTTGACTTTTCTCAATCTCCTACTTCTACTAAGTTAACTGCTCAATTTCAGACATGTTAAAATTTATTTTAATTATAAATAAAAATTTAATTCCAAGTATTTAATATATATATTTAAAATAAAATGTTTAAGAAGAATTAAAACGTATTTCTTGGTGTACTCAAGTGAACTTATATAAAATGGTATATTTCAAGATTCTAATTTATCAATAATCTCTATATTTAATCATGAGTATCTTTTTAATATATTAATAATATCAAATTTATATTGAGATTTGATTGAATAAATAATTATCAAAATTTCAGATTTTCTATTCAATTAAAGAGTTTTAGTTATTTATATATAATTAATAGAATTATAATTAATTATTAATTATTAATTAAATAATGGAAAGTATAAAATAGGAGCGAAATTTTGTAAATGAACATTCTATATCAAAATACTTAAAGTGTACTATTTGTTCGGCTGTTTTTGATGAACCCACTAGATTAAAATGCGGGTATTAATTTAATATTATGAAGCCATACTTTTTGTAAACCATGCATTGTTTTCTGGTTGAAGGATCATCCTAATTGTCCTCAATGCAGAGCAAATACAAAATAAAAGGACTTCTAATGTATATTTGAAATTTATCAAAGCTGATCGTATTGCTGCAGGAATTATAAGTGAACTGGCTGTTTATTGTTTAAATAGAAACTATGGTTGTAAATGGAAAGGTGTTATAGATAACTTATAAATTCATTAAAAGAAATGCAGTGCTAAAAGTGATGCAACTTAACTTAACCTGAAAATGGAATACTATTAGGAGAACGATGAGGATTACGAACTTGCTTAATCAAATGATCCAGGAAATATAGGCACAAGAATATTGGCCAAATTGAAGGATAAAGGAGAGGTCATTGATGCCTTAAAATCTTCCAATGAAAATACAAAAGATGATAATTTAGAAGAAAATGATCCAATGTTATTTTTGGATGAATTGCAAAAATTATCAGAAAACATCCCTTTAGAAGAATAGAGGGATAAACTTTCTTTTAACGAAAAGAGAGAAACTAACTTTGATGATGAAGATCTACCTAAGCAATGCCGTGAAAGAATAAATAAATAATCAAATATGTGATAATCTCATCAATCTATTATTCCTTTATATGAATTTAATTTCTTAATCTGAGACGCAGTCATCTCTTTGTTCACTTCTAATTGAACAATCAAGGGATCTTTTAATACTCTCAACATATCAAAGTATGTGAAATAAGGCTGAACGATTCTCTATTAGAATTCAGTATACTCCTTTGTTTATTATATATCATAGGGTATAAGTAGGGAGAGAAGTGTTTCAAAATCTTAAAATTTCAAGACGTTCTAGGTATGAGCAGTGAAGAGCATCTTAAACTTATCGGCAAAAGATCCTCTCAGCAAAATGCTTAAACAAATGAGAAATTCTCTAAAATCTAAGAGTTCTGATTTATTTTCATCAAATAAGTTAAAAATTAACTACAATTTTTCTTAATCTAAAGTATAATGTTCGGACTCTTTTCGTAAAAATATCTCCTATTTATATATAAATAACTGATGATATTACCATAAATGTAAGAAATGTATTTATATTGATGCCATATTTTTAGAGTTTAAATTATTATATTATTAAAGACTCTCTATATCGATCATCTCCATCTTCATCAGATGAATCAGTCAATTATGCTAATTATTTCATACTTTTTCTTTACTATTAATCAACTTAAATGGTTCTTTTCTCTAAACAATACTTTTTGAATTCTGTTTGCAGCGTTGTAATTTCATCAATATCAAGATTTGATATTTTTTTTAATTTATTCAAGATGATAGGATCATTTTTCACCCATGATCGACTTGTTTTTGAGTAATATTACTCTATGTAGATTGTCCTTTCAAATTTTGTAAAGTAAGCTTTCTCCTTTTTAAACATTTCAATTAAATTGGGATAATGAACAACTTGTATTTAATAGGAACATATAAATACATTTTCCTATGTTATTTAGAATTTTAGGATGCATTAGATTTTAACCTTTAGTCGCAGTATTTAGAGTGTACAGTATAACATTGTCAATAGGAATAAAGGATTTGAGTTTGAACATTTCAATCCAAGTGACTAACAATGAACTGGTATTAAGCACTTAAATCATCAAAGTTAATAGGAGTTATGGTCCGAAAAGTTCGATAAATTGAGATAAGGATTCTCTATTTTAGAAACCATTAACACCAATCATCTCTTGAAGAAAGTTAAGTTCAGCCTGATAGCCAATTAAAGATGCTCCTTACGAATTTGAGAAGAATCTTGGAGGTATAATCTCATTAAAGAGTTGATTCATTAGAAGAAAGGCCCCTTCCTCATCTGCTATGCATAAACAAATAATTGCAATATAATTCATCCCCTAACAATACCCAATAGTTGGATTATGAGCTACGAATAGTTCCAAAACACGAATAATCGATTTCCTAATTTCTTCTTGTTACAGTCCTTATTAACTCTGGGTTACGAATTCTCTTATGCTGTAATTTAATAGATGAGCATCTGATCTTCCAGTCAGTATATCCTTTTCAATGTTCTGTTTATCAAACAACTCTAGAGGCTGTTTAAACTTAATCTTTCTCTTTTTGTCACCCAATATTTTGCTCATGAGAAGTGATTTAGTATTCCATTTTATTTTGTATACTTTGATCAAATCCTGATAATACAGGTAATCTCTGTAACAATTATCACAAACTCTTTATGGTTTTTCAAACTCTCTAACCAATTCATTCGGAATAGCATATAACTTTGTAGATGAAATGGAATTACCTTGATTTGATTGCTGCTACAAGGGAGACACACATCTTAATGACACCTTTTACACTGGCTAGATAAACGCATAAGGCTAAAATTATGATTAGAATTAATTACAATATTTGAAGAGTCTTTGAACATACACAACATTTTGATTTTTCAAAAATATTCATTAATAGTTAATAAATATAATAAAATTACCCGGGAAGAATGTATATAGAAGAATTTTCTAATTAACTAAATTTGGATCAAGAAACCTTAGATAAAGTGAAAATAGCTATGCAGTAATTTTCAGAATAAGAAGAAAAAGTATATTTCATTCCAAGGTATTTAGATTTACGTTCCAGCTGTAGTTTATTTGTGTAGTCAAAGCTGTCAAATACAATAAATAGATGGATAAACAAAATAAGGCAATGGAATAACACTTACATAAGTATAATAGTAATAAGATTGTAGGTAATTCGCAATTTGGATCCCCAAACTGATATTGAGTAGTTCTTATTGGTTTTGTAAGAGCTTCCTTCTCTTTTGAAGTAACATTCAAGTGAATTTGATAGTGTTGTCAGATAAGCCAATTTCAGCTTCAGATTATACAAAAAGTTTGACAAATGCTTTAGCCTCATTCAGTATAATCAATAAATTGAGTATTTCTTAGGCCATTCTAGAATCCAAGTTCAACCCCTTAATTCAGAAAAGAAGATGATAGCGATCCATATATCTAGGACTTAAAGAAGGTAGCATGGATTCTATGCATAATGGTTCGATAAAACATTTTACAATATGAAGAGTAGTTAGAAAAGAATGAATACAATATCTATGATCCAAATAGTAAAGTTATTTTGATTCTTGTTGGATCTTTATCGATAGTATTTAAAAATTTACCAAATACATTTACATAAAATGTAGCAGATCTTTCATAAAAAATGTTGACCTATTTTTGTAATGATTTAGATGAATGTGATGAGGAATTAAAATATTATTAAAATTTGTGTTTTAAATGCATAAATCAAATAGCAAATATAATGCAACATAAAGCCAAAGTTTTAGATTTGTAATTAGAGACTCAAGAAAACCAAGTTCATATTTTATTTGAAGAGAATACAATCGATTAGACATATAAAAGACTACATAAATATTATGAAAAGACCAGAAAACATTCTGATTTAGATGAAGAATGCTTTTTAAGATAAAGAGTTGTATTTACTCCTAAAAAAGACATCAACAAATAAACTGATTATTCAGAATTCGAAACTTTGCAAAAGAAAACCAAAATAAAAAGTGACCCTCCTTTTATGCAGACACCTTTAAAAGACAACAAGTTCTCTAACACCTTAGAACAAACTTATTTTGATATTAAAAAAAATGCTATTCCTCAAACTCCAATAAGTAAATGTATGGAATTATATTAATGGATGAAGAAAATCACTATGCAAAATTATAAATGTTTTGAGGATTATGATGAAAAAGAGTTTTATGATAGGGCAATCCATAAAATTAGAAAGTATTTCGAAGTCACAGAAGCAATGAAAACTTAAAAATAAAATGAACAAGAATAAACTATATTCACATTATCTCTAGCTGTCATTGACTCATTAATTAAATAGAATGAAGGTTAATTTGATTTGAAATTACTTCAAAATGATTGTTTCCAATTTTCTATTTTGGGTTTGTCCTTGTACACGCATTAGATCATAAACTAAAAACCTAACCTATTGTATAACATGAAATAATTATGCACAATCTTTGAGATAAGCCCACTTGATTTATTTAGAGTGATTGCTAATTTTGCTCATTTCAATCGACAGATGCCCTCTACTATTACTTCATAACTATTTGAATTAGAGAAACACATCCTATTCAATTTGATGTGGCAAACAGATGCTAAGAAACTAGTTGAAATCTTCAGAGATAGTATTGAATATATAATAATGTCATGTAGATTCCCCAAAATATTTTGAATAGGAATTGGTGAGAAGATTCTAGAACCATTTAGCCTTGAGAGTGAAAGAACTTTGTAAAATACTACAATTAGAAATTCATGATTTTGCTTATTCAGCAATATGTGAATTTATGAAGAATCCAAAATTAGAAGTCCTTAAAGATGTGATTTTTGACACTGTGATAGTTTGCACATTTTATGTGATACAAAAACATCACAAACAAAGTCCTTCCTTTAATTCTTTCAATAAAGTAAGAACATTTTAAATCTCAATAGCTATACACTAAATATTACTCGTAACAAAAGCAAGTCTTCACAAGAATCGTTGAGTATTACAACGACAGATTTTTGAATGAATTCCGAGACATCGTTAAATCAATATCCAATGCTCAACCTTTGCATATTCCTAAGAATTTTGAATGTCAAAGTCCATTGATAATAAAACCTATTCCTGTATCTCCTAATTAGAAACTATCCTATATTGCTACTCCAGAACCACCTTCCCCTCAAAAAAACTTCATGCGCTCATTGATGCAAAAGATAAAACCATAATAATAACCATAATAAAAATAATAAGACATTCAACCTTTCCAAGATTGATTTTATATTTAATAAAGCAATCAAAGAACTTCTGCCAAGATATTTTGATTTCTCTCCATCTATTATATTGCTGGTCTAAACAACTAAAATTATATCCCTTGCAACATGATTCCCATGTATGTTAGAATCACTCTCTCTGTCTGCACCTTCCAAATATGAGTATATCTTAGCTTCATGGAATTATTTTAACATAACACTCTAAATTATATTAATCATTACATGCAAGAGTCACACAAATATATAAGATGAATGGTATGTAATGCATCTGAGCAGCCTTCTTCTTCTCCAAAAAACTATTCGCATAAGCAAAATAGACCATATTTAATAAAAATGATAAATCCATAAGTGTTTCGTGTTAAAATAATTAAGTTGGCATCGACTAGAGAATTATTTCAATAAGTAAAAGTAAATGAGCAATCTGTCCTGCCAAACAGATAGTGGGATTAAAATTCATTTTATGTTGCTTCTTTGTCAAAAACGGCAAAGTTCCTATTTGTTTGTTTGTAAATGATTTCTTTATTATTTCTGAGATCACTATACCAAGTATACAAAGAAAACACATACAAACCTCTTACTTAAATCAATAACTTACAATCAGCCCAACATTGTATGATAATGGATCATCATAAAAAAAATAAATCCTATCCTCTTCTGGCAAATTCGATAGAGCAATCAAAAAACTACATATACTCAGGCAGCAATATATCGTTGGTTAATTACTCAAAATTAAAGTCTTTTAATTCTCCTGCTTCGTTTCTCTCATTGAAGAAAATAACGAAACCCTATCATCTGCCAAAATATCATAATTATATGTTTCTTTCACATCTCTTTTTTCATAAAATGCAATGATATCGTCCTTATTCATCGCAGATAATTCTAAATAAGTTATTTAATAAATATAAACTATTTATATAAACTTAATTTGTCTAATTCTTTATTATCTAAATTATATAACCAATTCAAAATTTATCACCTAGGTATTCTTATTAACAAAGTAATTAATGTAAATCATTTTATTATTATTTTTATACTGATCATCTTAATAACTCTCGACTGATTGTCATAGAATTTACTTATTAATTAGAAACCATAAATAATGTTGAAAATGATGTATCTGAAAACAGTTTTAGAAATATTAGAAATAATTTTGGTTTTAAGAGGTTAAACTAGATAATTATAGATTTCTATCATAAAATACATTTTAATATAGTGTAATTGTATTATACAATTATTATTAAATAAATATTTTAAACTAAGTTTTTGGTAGAATATTTAGATAAATAACGAATCAAAATTAATCCTGTTTTAAAAGAACTCTCTCTGGATTTTAGAAAATGTAACAACATACCATAATTATTTAATGAGATTTAGTTAAGACTCTTTAATCATTTTAGAATAAATAATTAATTCACATATTTTATGTATTATCATTTTTTTATACTGATATGAAATTAATTTTAAGTTTGGTCGGTTTTTTGGTAGAATAAGATTGGAATTCTTTTTATTCTTCATCTTTCTTTTCTGCATTTTCTGCATTTAATTCCACAGGAATATAAACCTAATTAAATAGAGATCCACATTCTTTTGCCTCATCCTATGATGATTTCAAACTGTTATTATTGTTTTGTTACGGAATTAAAACCTTCTTCAGAGTTTGTTGAGGTTGTAAAATATCCATAATGTTGTTTAAATCTAATTTCTGATGGAACTTTTGCTGTACTCCATTTAATATACTTGATGGTTTGATTTATAATTTTTAAGCATTAACCTTTGTTTCCACTTGAGTCAATTACCCAAAATGATGTGCTTGGGAGATGTGTTTTTCCAAGGTGTCCCCTTTGGAGAAGGACAACTTGCATTTGATACAGATATAGATTTCTAGATCAGCCAAATGTTCATATCTGATATGATTCAGACAATTTTATTGGTCCTTTATGATTTGTTGGCATTCTTTGCATTTTTAATCCTGTTCAAAATACAACTTAAAAAATCCTTTATGAAGCTTTTCAAAGAGATCATTTTTGTATTCTTTATCACTAAATTACTTTAATGCTTCTATTTGGTTAATGGAACTTTGCTTCATCTTTTATTCGATATGATAATAAAATCGTGATATTAATTTGCGAGCAGTCTATTTAAGATCAATGGCTTATTCTTGTTTTGGATCTTCTGCATTAATAATCACTTCAACGCTAGTTTCATCATTTATAATGACTACTGGGTTATCGCTTGCCTTGGATTTGATCATGTCTGTGTTTTTTTCAATGTTGAAATTATGTTTTTTAATGAGTGTTTGTAGTAGATACAATTTGTCATTAAGTTTAGAAATGTTCTTGTGACATTTCTTCACTTTGGCTAGGATTTAAGTCTTGTTAATTTGAGATTGCATAAATAAATAATAAATAATTGTGAAATTCCCGATTTCATACTATTAAATAATATAATATAAATTTATGATTTAATTAAATTATATATATATAAGATAGGATAATCTCATCTTTATTAATTGTTTATAAAATTATTATCAATAATAATTATCAATGTCTTCATCACTTTGTTATTTGTTTATTTAATCCCACTCATCTTAGAAGTAACTCTGATTTGGTGAAGCATATATATCTGGAAATAAATTGTAACATCTCCAAATGAGCTATTCAATTTTAAGATGCAATCCAATTGACCTGTTATCAATATCTTCAGCAATTCTAGCAAAGGCCTCCAAGAACTCGACAAAGCTCATTTAAAATATTCTGTCTGAATTGACCTCGTCAATCTATGTCATCATAGCCTTGTTGAATGCGAACAATGAAGTGTTCGGCCCATATGTATCCAATTGATTCAAACCAATATGAGAACACATATCCTACAATTCCTACAAACTCATAAATGGCTTCTATCCTGGCTTCACCTTCTTCACACTATATCTGATATAAACACTATCCAATATAGTCTTATAATGCTTCATGCACATGTCACATTGTTCATTCCAATACCTAGAGTCCCTAAAGATCTAACTATTATATTTATTGAATTCCTCCTTAAGATGATCCTCCCATAACCATCTCAAAGCTTCTTCAAAGGATTTCGCAATCCCGTTTCGAATATATTTGTCTTCAGCTATTCTGATCCACATTTCAAGAAATTAGAATCTGACCATTCCTCTCTCTGGTTTCCTGTAATTTCCCTTTTCTGTTCCAGATATTGTGGCCAAGTACTTCAATTCCATATCCTATTATTTGATGACTCCTTTCTCATTTATTTCAGTCAACTTGATCTAACTTAACAGTTATAAGTTGATTAAGGAAGAGATGGCCCAAATATCTCCAATGGGTGATAGGCATGCAAAGTGTCTAAATTCAGATTATCAATTACTTATAAGTATCCTTTATTTATTGATAGTTTGATCTCAAAAATTCATAGCAACCATTTCGATCATTTTCATCCTTAATCAATTTGGTAATTCTACTTAAATTCCAATCATTTTAAAAACATTTATCCAACAGCTCATCAGTATCTTTTTTCCAATCCTTAAACAGAGATATAGGAAATGACCAAATTCTCTTATTCTCAATTACATCAGGTACGTAAATCAAGTCCTCCTATCTTGGCTAAACATTTATAATTGGCATATAATATTTATCTATGATTTATGTTCCTTAAACATTTAAGTAATTTAATTGATTCAATTTTACATCCACTTTTTTGTCTAAGATTCGCACTTTGTTTAATGGTAATGGCCATCTCTTATGAAGTTAATCCTAAGCCACGCATTGGATATCGTCATTTGTAAAAAAGTAATAACACAAACCTGGAGGAACCATCCTCTGCACTTTCAAACCTTCTTCAACCTTTCCCATATATAAATCGTCATAATTCAAATAAGATAGATGCAAGAACATTGGATCGTTTGCTGGACCAGATTCTTGGGGATTCCATTAGAAATCTACTTAGCGCCAACCTTCACAAATCCAACAACAATCTTTTATGTTGGTATCTCGATAAGATCTTAATCGTTTCTACTTGATGTACTAGCATCCTTGTATTCTTTGAGCAATTTAATGTTGAGTCTATTCCGTTTCTCCAGATTCAATAGGTATCAAAAATCCTTTTGTATCTACATAGCCAGAATTACCTGTGTAATGAAATCCTATGATTGTTTTATTTTTTTTCAATCCTTCAGCTATGTTACATGTGATTTTATATGGGATTCTATTAAAAGACAAATCGAAATGAATTAATTCTGTATTGGTGCTCACCATTTGATTAAAACTATTTGACCAATCCAAACCAATTCCTATTGAATTTTAGGATAAATCTAATACTTTTAAATTAGATTTTTGCAAACTATTAAAAATCATGATTGCTCCATTTCCATTCAATCTATTAAAATGCAAATATAATTCCGATATGTCTTCATTATTTTAAATCATATTACAAAGTGCAGTACAACAATTATTCGATATATTATTCTTACTCAAATTCAAAATCTTCAATGATCTATTATCAGCAACCCTTTCCAAGATTTCAATTATTTAGCTTTCTTTTAGTTTATTGTCTTCTAAATTCAATAATTATATTTTGCAATCTCGACTCACCAAAGAATTTCCGATTTCCAAACATCCACTGCCAATCTTGTTTTTTGATAAACTCAACTTATATGCTCCTCTAGTACTTCTTATAATCTCAGATGAACTCAACTATGTCATTCGATTGTTATTTAGGTGAAACTCCTTGATGTCATTTTGCTTCTGCAATCCCCTTGCCAAAATCACCATATACTTGTCCCCATACTTCATATGGCTATTAAGAGATCAATTATACTTTAAGTGCAAAACATCATTCTTTTGTCGATTAAATAATCCAAAACTCCCAGGAGGAATTTGCGGAGAAGACAAACTACTCATTAGGTTATCATTTCTATTATAAAATTGGTTTTATTCTTAAATTCTTTCGATTGTTTTGTGAAATCGATAAAACTCCTTTTTCGTACTTGTTGTAGTTTCAGGAAAGAAATCAATACTGAAATCAAGTTCCTCATCCTCATTCTTTTAAGTAATAAAACGACTCTTATTTTAGAATGGAAGCTTAGGTAGAGACCTTGTTATATTGGCCTTTTTGCGGATTTTCATATAATTTATGGGGTTGAAATAAATAATAATAATTATTGCAATTTTTCTGTAACTTATCATTCAATCATATTTTAGTATAAATCTTAATTCCCTTTTGATTTTCATTCATTTTATCAAATAATTAATCAATATATAGTCAATTTTGTATTATCTATACACCATTGGTAGAAATGAGATTAAATTCTAGACTACTTAACAACAATCAATATTTAAAATGAATAGAAAATAAGTAATAAATTCTGTGTGTTTATTGGTAAATATAAATGAAACTTAGAAATTCAGAAATTCATATATTGCAGTTTATGATATAAAATTTGATTAAAATAATTACTAATATAATATGTTTCAAAATGTTCTTTTATGAATAAGTGACATTTTGCCTTCAGGATTTTCTTCATACTCCTGTTTATTGATAGCTAAAGATTAAAATGTCTTAAGTGATCCAAGCATAGAACCACCTATCCAAGCACTATATTTCCTTTGGAAATCAGCAACGAAATTGAATTCTGATCTCATAGCCCCTCCTGGATAGATCTAACAAATATCATCTTGCAATCTGGATATTAGTCCTTAAAACATAGAAGTACCTCCTCCAAGCACCATGTTAGCCAGCAATTCTTATCTCAATTCCTTATCACATCTCTAGATAGAATTAACAATCATTTAAGGCAGCGAAGAACTATTCTTATTTATAATAGCAGAATTGAATAAAGCTTCAGAACAATGATATCTAATCTATGGAGTAATTTGAATGACTTATTCATCTGGTAATTCATAGCTTCTCTCTTCTTCTGTAAAATTGTCTTCTGACTTAATTTGTAATGTATATTGATTACTTGCATTTGCATTTCATAATCACTAGCAATGTAGCACATATTTTCTTTAATATCCTTAATAATCCATTGTTTCTCTTCCTCAGAAAATTTATCGATTAATGTTTCGTAGCATCTCAAATCATTTTCCAAACATTGCGTGATTTCAGCACCAGAGATATGAGAAAATTCTAAGGCATGCATAATTGGAAATCCTTGATAAATTGGAACAATGGTATTCACAGCATGTCCTAATTCAATGGATAATCCGCTTGAAAAAGTTATGAAAATAATTACCTAACTAATCCAGTCGAAAACAATGACAAACTTGCTGAGTTCATGAATAAAACTGATTAAACTTTGAGATAATCAAAAAAAACTTCAGCAAGTTTCGATTTGTATTCCTTACTATTCTTTACTTGATCAATGATTAATAAATTAACTTATTGTAATTCAGATATTTGTAATCCATCCTCAAGAATATATTGCCAGAATTCTTTCATAGATTCCACATTGTCAATTTTCTAAGTAAATACAATAATTATAATTTGTACTCCATCTTTGATTGGATTCGATAACTGTACATTCAACTTTTTCTCCTTGACGACTTTCTTCAAATCTTAGCCAAATAAGAGTTAAGGTTTATTGTTTGGATTGTCATTGTCATTTTAAAACCGAGTGTGATCCGCATTTATTGTCGTAGATTAACTATAAATACAATAGAGTGATAATTACTCTAGGAATAATCCTCTCCTGAGATTCCCACTTTGATAGTATCAGTACCATTATCAATGACAACGATATCTTTTTAGTCATACTCACTCTCCATAGTGGCTCTCTTATTGATTTTCATTTATATAGTTAATATATATGATTATTTATAATTATTATTCAATGCTAATGTTATTGATGAGGAGCACCAAAAGGATTTTAATCGTGTCTCTAAAATATAAGTGAATTAGTTTACAAGAGATGAATAACGTCTTGCTAAGCCACCTGAGGAATGGTCTCCCTTCAAAGCTATAATCTTGTGTTCAGTTTCCATTGGGTTGATTTCTTTACTTCCACATTCAAAACACATGTCTTCCTTTATGAACTTAAGGAAGAAGCATCCTATAATTGATATACATCCAAATCCAATACCAATCAACCTACACATATATTCAAGAATTACCATTATTATATTTTGAGTCCGAAATTACCATAAAGACCAATGGCTTTGGATCCAAATGTAACCATGAGGATTTGGATGCAGAAAATGATAGGTACAATCATCATGAAGGCAGTATGTTTGGTTAATCCTTCAAACACATTGATTTCATCATTGAATCTTCTGCTATTGAGAAAATTGAATAATTGAAGCATGATGAAAACATTAAAGACATAAGTAAACTAATTGGTAATGAATTAATTGATACATGACGAGAAGGTTCATGAGTGTCTTCATAGAATACAGCATAGTCTCTCTTTCCTTCAGGAGTATTCAATCTACCGCTGGCTATTAATGTGCAACTAGTTTCGAAATCGCATTCCTCACACATGATATCATAACATTTATTTTCGTGGCATACACATTCAGATGATAAACAAGCACCACTCATTTTAACTTCCTTCGATTCAGTAACATCTTCAATCAAAGTCATTGGTCTACCACTTTCCTCTGAATATTTCTTGAGATCTTCATAAGAAGTTTTGCACAAATGATCACTGTATTTGTATCGTTTTTTTATTCCTCTAAATGCCGTAAGATCATACTCGTCAGCATATTCTGGCAAAAAGGAATCTCCTGCAAACACTATCAGCAAAACTACAGCTATCTGTATCAGAGCAGTTCCAACTATGAATTTAAACATCTTTTTAGAAATAATGTACTCATTTCTATCATGTGGTTTACGATACAGTAATTTTTCAGTGGGTGGCTCTGTGGCTAAGGCAAGAGAACCTAGAGTATCCATAATCAAGTTAACCCACAACAATTAAATAGGTTTCAAAATTTCCTAACTCAAAACAGCAGCTCCGATTAATGTCAATCCAACACTAACTAAGTTAGCAGTCAATTAAAATCTTAAAAACTTTTTGATGTTATCATAGACATTTCTACCCCACATAACAGCCTGTAACAATGGAATTAAAGTTATCATCCAATAGAATAATAGCAGCAGCCTCTCTAGCAACTTCAGTTCCTGCAATACCCATAGCAAATCCAACATCTGCCTTTTTCAAAGCTGGAGCATCATTAGTACCATCACCTGTGACAGCAACTACATGACCTCTTTCAATCAAACCTGTCACTAAAGCATACTTATCTTCAGGTCTACTACGAGCCAATACATCTAAATGAGGATAGATTTTATCGAACTCTTAAGGATTTGCAATTGTATCAACTCTAACATCTTTATTTTCCTTCTTTGCTGTTGTACTATCTCTTGCACAAGGGCAGATAGCTGTTCTACACTTCTGGCAGACAACACCTCCAATTTTTGCTATAAAGTCAGGTCCTTCCATAACAATAGATTAATCATCTCCTGGTGTAATGATACCACATTCTTTAGCAATAGCTCTAGCAGTCATTTTATTATCTCCAGTAACCATTCTTACTTTAATTCCTGCTCTTCTGCATAATTAAATAGCTCTTGGCACTTCTTATCTTAGAATATCTTTGATTCCCAATACTGCAACCAAGGTTAAGTCACTTTATTCCACAGCATATACACCTTTTGGATCTTTAGTTGTCAAATCTTCCCTTGCACTGATTTCCTTGTATGCTAAACAAATAGTCCTCAATGCTCTGCCAGCCATAGTTTCAATAGCCTTTTCTACCTTCTATTTCAAATCTTGATTCATAGGAACAATAGATCCATTTCCCTTAGAATGATATTATGAACATGCAGCCAAAACCATTTCTGATGCTCCTTTGCAGACCAATCTACGTCTGCCTCCATCTAATTCTAATACCATAGACATTCTTTTTCTTTAACTGCTGAAGGGGAATTTAGTACTAGCAGGATACTTCTCTCTTTATTCCTCATAATTCATAGAACATCTTTCGATAAATTCCAGTAATGCAATTTCTGTCTTAGATCCTTTAGGTTCAGGTCTAAGCATAGCTGATCCATTGACAACTGCGCATTAGATGAAGAATTCTGAGAAGTTTTATGGGAAATAGGATGTCAATTATTGTTTTTCAGAATAGGAGAATCTATTTTCAAATGATATCATCATTCCACACATTAACAAGTGACATTTTATTTTGAGTCAATGTTCCTGTTTTGTCTGAACAAATCATAGAGGCTCCTCCCATAGTTTCACATGCTGCCATTTTTCTGACTAGATTCTAATCTTGAAGCATCTATTTGGTTGAATAAGCCAATGATAGTGTAACAGCCAATGGTAATCCTTCTGGAATAGCAACGACGACCACTGTGATTCCAATAATAAAATATCCGATGATAGTAACAACCATATAATTCTCCCAATCATCATTCATTCCTCTCTCAATACCAAATCTCAAACACATCACACAAACAATCAAAATTGCTGATATCAATCCAAATTTACCAATATCTTCAGCTATTGCAGTTAACTTCATTTACAAAGGAGTAGCTATTAAATCTAATAATTATTTTTACCTTCTGGTTCATCTTATCTCAATAATGCTGCAATCTTACCAGCACAAGATGAGTCTCCTACAACAAGAATGAGCATCCTGCCTTCACCACTTAGTACTCTTGTTCCACTCATCATTATTGGAGATGGAACATCATGATGACCTGCTGTATTCTTATATTTTAATGATATTAATATTTACTTGTCCTCCTTCTTCTTTTAATTAGTTCCTCTTGTTAATACATTCAATCAACACATTCTTTTTGATTGGATCAGTTTCTCCTGTCATAGCACTCTCATCAGCTGTCAAATCTGATGCTTCCAGTACAAAACCATCTGCAGGGATTTCCATTCCTTCGAATATTTGTACAACATCTCCAACCAGCACTTCGCTCATGTGAATATCACATTTCTTTCCATTTCTTACAACTGTCACTCTCTTTCTTTCATCGGCAACTTCATTCAATTTTTAAAATTGTCGTTCCTTTTAATAATCATTCACAGCATTTGCATTTGTAGATATAATCACTGCCACCAATATTGCAAATCCTATTTTATAATAAAAATTATTGAATACCTTCAATCCAAGCCAATTTCCTGTAACTCTCGTCAGCAGTTGAAACATCAACTATAATACTGACAATGGCTGCTATGCATAAAACCTTCATAGTAAAGTCATTCAATGCACCCAACCACAACTCACAATACCCTTTCGGCTCAATTTTAGGTTTCCTGTTGTGTCCAAATGCCTTCTCCCTCTCCAGTTGGTCTTGCATCGTCAAACCACTTTTGAAATCAGTACAAAGTCCTTCCTTTCACAATACATACATCCTATACCTCTATTAACTTCTCTCCTAATTCCTCCAATTTGTCTACTTCCTCAGCAAACACTCTTTCTTAGCACATGTAAGCAATCGAACACAAGGTTTGCTTAGCTATTCGAAATTTTCCATATGGTTCACACCCATCGTCTTTCATTTGTTCCTGTTGCGTCATCGGGTCTTCTTCAGCCATTGATTATTATTATTATTATTATAATAATCTTTTTATTTCGAATCATAAGAATATGAAACAGTTATACATTAATTATCATCAATAATATAATTTGAAAATATCTGTATCTTTATATTCTAAGAATCTCATTAATTAACTCATTTATTACAAGGAAATCCTTCCTCAAGCGATTACAATAGCTCATAAATATATTTTACCATTTATTCCAAATCATCCATTCTAAAACTTCTCCTTTTTTTAAATTATCAAATTTACTCAATAAGTATATACTTATTAAACACTGACAAAATTTAAAGTCTCTCCTAGAGAAAAGAAAGTGTTGTTATATCATTTTATTGCCACAGTTGATACCTACAACAATGATTACATTGAATTAATTAACGAGTTGCAATCAAATTTAATAATTTTAAACTGCATGTATACTTGAGGTTAAGACAATAAAGGTGGTAAGGCACTTGATAAGTCTTAATTTCCTCTCCGCTTTTGTATATTTCATTGTCATATCAATTTCAGAAAAAAAAAGTTCTTATATAAATGCAATAATTATTTTTAATAAAAATGATATCCTTATGTTAAATTATGTTCCAGCAATTTCAACAATATTTAGAATAGACCACCTTTCATAAGGTGATGAATCAATTTTAATATTCTGATCATCTAGACATAAAAGATTTGTTTAAAAACACGATAAATATTCATTGCTATTTCATTAAAAATTATATAAAGGATTTATTTTATATATAATAAATTTCTATAGATAGATTATATATTTTAATGTAGACAATTACACATATTTTGAATGGATATCTCTGAACTCTAAAGACTTATTCCACACGTGTTCTTTATGAGTAATCTTAAAGTATCATAAAATATTCGAATATTGATAAAAAAATGCATGCTTATAATCAAGTTGATATCTATTAAAAATTAATATTTGAATTTCTATACAACTTTGTCCATTAATAATAACTAGGATTACATCGTTTTACTTTAGTAAAATTGAGTACTCCTTATTAATCGATTTCATATAAATACTGGAAATAAAAAAATTTACTATACTGATTCTAAGCAGAGAAATAAATTATGAAAGGAATTATACCTACTAGAACTCAAATTTGATCGATAGGATAGTAAAATAGCAAATTGAATAAAGATGTCTTACATATTTCTTAAATAAAACATTAATACACATCAGTTTCATTATAATTTTTGATTACCAATGAAATTGAAGATCCTTCTATTTTATAAATACCTAAATTAGACATAAGATTAATTAGCCACATATCTTGATGGCAAATTAGATATTCTAAAAGTAGTAAAAACTTGCAGTTCTTATTATATATTATTTTATATGATTAATAATATAATTTAAATTATGTGAATTTTTATTTTGAAGCAATTCAATTATGATTTACCTATTCTGAATAAATTAACTATTATTGATTATTGATTTTTCCATTTATTAAATATTTCTGTTTTTAATCATCCTTTTTTAGTTTCTCTTAAACAAAGATTTAATTTCATAATACTAATAATATTTAATAAATTATTCTTTATTAATATTTTTAATATTTATATTATCTTCATACGTTAAGTATTTTATTTGTAATTACAACTCCTTTGAGGATATTTTTATTAGGTCTATGTAAAGATATTTAAATTGTACAGGAATTTTGATTTTGCAGACTCCCCAATTGATAATTAATCATCTTCTCATTATCCTATTATTTTACTAGTACAAAGTAGAATTACTTTTAAATTATCAATCCTTATGATTTTTGATAATATCCTAAGAGCTGAATATTTGCATCATATCAATATGATCTTACAATTTCCTTTTCTTTTATATTTTAATATATTTATTAATAATATAAGAAATAATAGGGGTTATCAATTGAATATTAACAGAAATTTTCTGAAAATGAAATGAGAAAGATTGGATATGAAAATTCCACATTAGAATTCAGATGTTTAAATTTATTTATGTTGTTGTGGTATTTAATTAAAGAGGAGACTGAAAAAAGAGTTGAATATGAAAAAGAACAAAATAATTAGGAATGGAAATAAAGATATGTACAAAAATTAAATGAGAGAAATTGAGAGATATTTATACTTAATGAATGATTTGAACATTAAATAATAAATATATCTTCATAAATGAAGCCTGTTGCTTAATCAGTAGCGTAAAGCGATCATGAATTGGACAAACATCATCATGAAAGTTAAGCAGATGAACACGGAGACGAACATCACTTCAAAGAGTATTCACCTAAGGAGCTCCGAAGTATAAAAATCCAAGGTGTTGTTTGCTTACTTGGTGGGATTGCTCTCCACTTTGTCCTTGGTACATTTTATCTATGGGGAGGCATAAGTAATTCATTTGTACTAATGTCTAGGTCCTTACGTTGGTGCCTACATGAAGGATAAGGATCCAGATGTCACATAATCGACTCTTTAGATAGTGTTTCCAATTTTAGGAATTGCCACAAATTCTGTTCTCTCCTTTGGAGTTAAGTTGGCACAAAGAATAGGATTTAAAACTATGATAGCAGGAGCTGGATTCCTGATTTCCCTAGCATTTTTAATACTGTCCTTCATCAATAACATTTATGGATTCATCTTGATATATTGTTTTATGATAGGCATACCCTCAGGATTGGTTTACATGTTGCCAATCAGTAATATATTATATAATATAAATTAGTTTGTGGATGGAAATACTTCCCCTTCAATAGAGGAATGGTTTCAGGTCTAATTATTGCTGGCTATGGATTCGGAGCATTTACTTTCAACTTCATATGCAAGGCTATTTGCAATCCCAATAACGAGGAACCAGATATTCCTTTTGAAGAAGATGGGAAAGTGAAAAAATATTTTTCAAAGGATGTTTTTTAAAATGTTCCTTTTATGTTCTAGATGTTGGCTTTGTAAATAAATTATTCATACATATTAGATCATATTTCCTTCTAACCATCATTGCAACTTTATTGGTGAAATATCCCAGAGATTTGAATTTGGAATATTAACAAGTATTAGGCGAAGGAAGTAAGAAGCCGAGTGGTATCAATCATGAAAAATCCGTTGATTATCACCCAACAGTTATGCATGCCGAATGTGAAACTCTAGGATAAGGTATGAAATCAAGGCCATTTTTGTTTTTGATAGTGATGGTTTTGTGTTCTATCATTTTTGGAATGTTAATGGCTAATTGTTATAAAGTATTTGGATAAACAGTATTAATCGATTATATTTTATTAGCTCGGAATTGATGATGCATCATTAACAGTACTTGGTTCAGTCTAATCAGTCTGTAATGGAGGTTCAAGATTCGGATGGGCAGTGTTGTTTGATAAAATTGGTTTCAAAAAGGTGTATTTGATCATCGCAGTGATCAACTTAATTTGTACTGCTGCTATTGGATATATCGACGGTAGTTATGCTGGCTATTTCATTATTTTATGTATCACAATGTGTTGTGAAGGAGGATTATTCTCTTGTTATCCTGCTGTAAGTGCAAAGATATTCGGTCATAAGGTATGAAACTCACTTATATTATTTAAGGTGGGACCCATCATCTATGGTGGATTATTCTTTGTTATTGGTTTGTCCAATATGTTAGGATACTTATTGTACAAATTTGGAGAACCAAAGATAGGTTATGGTGGAGTCTTTTGGATTGTCTTTGGATTTTGTTGTGTTGCCTTCATATTGGGAATATTCTTTAAAGAGGAGCATGATTGGAAAAAGAAATGAACATATTATTTTATTACAATTTGTGTAATTATCTATATTTTTTAATCAATTTGTTTGATATCAAAACCAAGGGGGATATCATCCTGGCCTTATCACTAAATAAATGGGAAAATTAAACAAATAGATTTATAGTAATATAGTTGTATAAATTTTTGAGTTATTACTTAATTTAAATAATTATTATATTAGAATGACTGATACTAAAGGATCAATGGTGGCTCCATTATCTAAATATAAATTAGTATTCCTCGGAGATTAGTCTGTCGGGAAAACTTCGATAATCAATCGTTTTATGTTTGACACATTTGATGGCAAAGATCATGTAATACAGTTTGAATATTCAAGCCTACAGTCGGCATTGATTTTATTTCCAAGACCCTCTACTATGAGGATAGAACCATTCGACTTTAATTGTGGGATACTGCAGGTTAAGAGAGATTCAGATCCCTAATTCCAAGCTATATTAGAGATAGTGCGGTCGCTGTAGTTTGTTATGATGTTGAGGGTAATATCTGATAATACAAAGTGAAATAATCATTTGATAGTGTTGCAAAATGGATTGAAGATGTGCGTCTAGAAAGAGGCAATGATGTAATAATCTTTTTAGTGGCCAATAAAATTGATCTTGAAAATAGGTAATGATTTGTATAATAATGGTAAGAGTTGTATCCACAGAGTAAGGTGCTGCTTTAGCTAAGGAACAAGATGCCCATTTTATTGAAGTTAGTGCAAAATCTGGAAGCAATGTTGAGTTACTGTTTAAATAAATAGCAGCCACACTTCCAGGTACTGAAACATCCTAAATGGTTAATTCTGTCGTTAACCAAGCTAATTAACGTATTACATTTCGTATATTCATAAAGCAAGCAATATAAAAATAGATAATACCTAAGGCTAAGATTAGGAAAAGAATGATAGAAAGTCATGTTGTTGAATTCCTTAAAACATCATATATATATATATTTATATTTCTATTCATAACTTTTGTTAGTAAAAATAATCATCTTCTGATCTAAATTCATGGTATTTTTAATGAGTTTGTTGAGTTCTCTTTTTTACTCCTTAAAACATGCACACCTTCTAATCTCGTAGGCAAATTTCAGTCAGCTTATTTTCCGATGCCTATTTAAAATATTCATTTAATCCTATGAAAATTGGTCTGTTTGATACTTTATTCCTACATAGATAAGTGGTTTCTTGTAATTCTAATTTACCCCAATCAATTTGCTGAGGAACCATGGTAATAGATTACCTCTATTCCTTGTCTCTCTTGAACATTGTTACATAACATCCTTTTGATTTTAGCAAAAAGTATTTTGTTATCCAATGAGATTTGAGTACTTTTTTTGCCTAAGCCATCTTTTTTTACTATTCAACAAAGAACTTTTACATCAGCAATTCTTTAAATAATTCCATCAATTGAAGTCCTTTAAAGAATTCTACTGTAATCATCTAATTTGTATTATTGATTCTGTCTCTTGAATCAATTATACAATTTATTTTAGAGATGAACTATTCCAAAATTGATTGATATTGATTTAATTTTGAATTAAAGCTTATAGATTGATACTTTAGAGTCTTTTTAATGAACATTTCAATCAAACTCTCAAATTATTATCGTATTTACATTAATACTTATATTGATTATTATTATTAGTCTTATTCATCGTTTCTTTAATTATTTTATACGTTTAAGAAATCTAAAGTGGTTAAGAACTTATAAAAATCATCTAAATCATAATCCTCTTTTAAAATGTCTATATTTTATACATTGATCATTGTAATTTTTTAATCATCTTCAAAGTGTATTGATGGAGAAAATAGAGATATTTTCTTTGTACATTTCGAACTTTTCCTCATCTATATTTCTTCCTCTTCTTCTAATTCAAAATCTAAATTTGCCAGCAAATTAAATTTCGAATAATTGGAGATGTTTTCTGAGTCTTGATCGTAATATATATGTTCTGCCTAATCACCCTAATCTAATTTTGTCATTAACATCTCGTACTCTCAAATTCAATCTGAGGTGTTCGAAAATATGGACCAGGAATTCCTTTAATCTTTTACTTTACACAATCGGCTTGAATTTCTTCTGCCGGGTCATCATTCTCATTAACAAAGGCTTCAGCCATCATATTATGAAAATTCGAAAAATCAAAATTTAAATACCCATCAAATGTCTCCTTTAAGTCATCAGTCATCAGCTTTATCTATTTTTATATTCTTTAAATTTATTTTCTTAATAAATATTAAAAATTGAGAAAAATATAAACTGTTTCGCAACTCACCTAACAATCTGATAAGATGATGTATCCAGGGATGATGATAAAATTAAGAAAACAAAAACTCAGCCCATTTCCTATGATTAAATTAATTAATTAATTGATTATTATTAATCCTGGATAAAATAGACCTTATTCTGTATTATCTTTGGCATCATAAATACAATACTCAGTAAGAAAAAACACAAAGGAATTTCCATGAGAAATATTAAGAATTACAAAATATAATAAAGTAGTTCAGAATTTAACTTAATTTTTGATAAATCTATTTTTTTTAAAATGCTGCTTGATTAAAGAACCATTCCTCAAGATGTTTGACAAGAATAAAATATCGTTAATAAATTTGAGTATTTTTGTCTAGGTAGCATAAAGAACTATGATGTACTAATTTTAATGGTAAATTCATCATTTAAAAATATAATAACAAAATCATTAAATAAATCAACCTAATTAGATTAGAAGTGTATCTATTTATAATCTTTTAATTTAGAAATCTTCATAATAAAAGGATTAGATAAAAATATATGAGAACGAATATTAATATGAAAATTCTAACAAATTTTTTATGAAACTTTCTATTGATAAGATTGTAATAATAATTAATATTCTATTGTAGTTAGTAGTTTAAATGTACATATTAATCAAAATAATCCAGATAATAAGTCAATAAATGTATTAATATTAATAATTTAATTATAAAATAGTTTTTTAAATTTAGTTATATCAATTTGAATATTTAAATTTCCTTATTGTAAAACATGTTCTATTAATTTAAATTCTAAATCTTAAACAGTTTTATTTAATAAATGCATATCTCTGGTTTATTTTTATTTACCATGATATTTATAGGGTTATATTTAAAGTATTAAATGAATAATATTAAGCAAGTCACCTCCAGAAGCATTCTCAAAAATAGATAAAACTTTATCAACTAATTCAATAATAGATAGATCCTTCCAAATTATAACTTATTTAAAGAGTTTATATTATTTATAAGTTATTACCTCGTACATATTAGTGCAATCTATTTAAAAGATCATCAATAAAATGATCAATATCTATTAATGAATTAGAGTCAAAAACCTATGCTCTAATAGAAATTCAGATATAGGTATTCCATATATATTCTAATATTATTTTTAAGTCTTAATGAAATTAAGATGTAACATCTAATATCTTTACTTTTGACTATCATTCTGATCCTCAACAACTCTTGATATGTTGGTGTCTCTCCTTCCTTTTATGATGACATTCAATTACTGGAATCTGTTATTTGCAGTAGTATTGCATCTTTTTTCTAACTGTTCCTTTTTAAATGAGGTTTATTTTTCGTCATTTGATTTGGTTGAATAATCTCTTTTCAGCATTTCTCCTACTTATTAGTTGCTCTCATTAACCTGCGTCATTTATAATTATTTCAGATTGAATCTTTTCCTATTCCTCGATTAAGTTTAGCATTTTTAATATCCATAGACTCGTAATAGACTTCGATTAAAGATTAGCTGTTCAATAGGTTAGGGATTAGATTGTGTCTTGCATTTTGATTGCCTATTAATTTAAGAAATTGGGTTATTTAATATTTCCATAAGTTTTCGCTTCTCCTATAATTTAAGCATATAATATTTTATATTTAAATTAGATTAATATTAATAATGCTTGGAATATTATAAATTTCAATACTCCCCAATCAAATCTCTATAGTTTATTTTTTAATTAATTCTTCTTCTTAAGTTTCTATTGGCGAATGAGGAATCCTAAGTCTTAAAGTAGGATATATATATATACTTCCTGTTAGGTTTATTGCTTTGGAGGCTGAGTAGTTTATTAAGTGGGAACGACTTGTTAGATTTTCGGAGGAGAGGATTGTTAAGTTTTTTATTTTTTTTTAGTTGAATTTCTTAATGAATCCAAATCTTGTTTGATTTCATCTTCCATTAAATTGAATCGAAAAGCTAGAATATAAATTCCTTGAGAATACTGTATTAAATTTTATTATCTTTGGTTGCTACAAAGGTAATGTTCTTTTCTCTGTTTCTGCAATCTTCTTATTCTATTATTGGTCGTTATTTGATGACCGAAGGTTCTTCAACTTTTTTAGGAACTTTTGGTTTCTTAACATTTTTGGAACAAGTCAAACAGTGATATTGACTGGTTTCAAATTCTATTTGAATATTTTAATTTCTGTTTTTTTATTCGCATACGATGTGATTCTAATGTAATGAAATGAAATAATTGTTACCCATTTTTGACAGGAATCACATTACACCCAGACTGCCTCATCGTCATAGGATCCATAGACCTGTATGATAGTTGAATAATTGGTACTTATTCACAAAAGTCGCAAAAATTTCCTTTATTATACAATTTGGAACATTTGTCACAAAAGAATAAGATGTCATTCTTTTTGGACTTGGCCTTTTTGTCTCCCACATTCTTGCAAAGTGGATTATGACATTTTTTTTGTTGTTGTACAGGTTCATCATCGTCAACTGTAATTGGATTATCGGCGCTATTTTTTTATTTTTAGTTGAAATTTATCTATTATAGAGGATAAGGGTTTAAGAAATTGGGTTATTGGGAGAAGTGAGCTGGATTAGAAAAGCATTGTATCAGTTCCATAGTTTTGGCAAGAGAGGTCATATCTACACAATAAATGGCAAAGCAATCAGTATATAGGTTATATAAATGAAAGGGGCAGGGATATAAATAATAGCTTACTCAGCAAATTAGGAGTCGGGAAGACATCCTTCGACGGATTGTTTAAGTTCAAACTTTGAGGTAGGTTAGGCAGGAGTGGTGTTGAAAAGAGCTATAATTATTCGGGATTTTAAAATCCTTTATTCAATTGATGTTGCTGTAAGCTAAAATAATGATAAGCACATCAAAAATATATAGGGATATCAGTAAAATATAGCATGTATATAAATAGGATTGATGTCATACTTGATAAGCATTTGGTAGAATTCCAAATCTTAAGCACTGCTTACTAGTGGGAATAGAGAATTATTATTCATTCCTTAACTCATTTTTTTTATTGTTTAAATTAAACAGAACCTGAATTTATATAATTACATCTTTTGAATTAAAACAAAAACATTTTCAAAGAGTTTTATTTAAAATTGTCTCATAAATGTATATATTTATATCTTAAATTTCATGAAACTATCTATAACACAGAGCATTCGTCATCTCCGTCTATATCTTAGATTTCATGAATCTCTTATTTGTTCTAAGTCAACTCCTCGGTTATACCTGAAATATCCTATAGAATATCAGGTCTATTCAAAGCCTCCAATAAAAATGCCTAAGGATTCTTCTCCAAAGCATCTAAAATCTGTTAAGAACATGCCACGCAACTAAAATACAAGATGGACAATACTGTTTAAATGCTCTTCCATAAAATATTCTAACTTCAAAGTCTGATAACTAACCTCTCAAGAAATGTGGCAATATCCCCAAATCAGTCTATTACAATTGGTCTGGATTGTCAGATGCTGGAGTTCCATCCAATAATGGACTATGGATTAAGCTGACAAATAATTCAGATGAATAAGCTGAAGCCAAGAAGGATAAACCTGGACGAGTAACTGTACATTATTGATCTAAAGTTCTATCCTTCATTGAATTTCCAGGAGATGAGATATCATTGCAAAAGTAGCATGCTAATCTTTCCCCATGGATTTCAGGATTGTATTTTTTCAATGAAATACCATGTCTGATAATCAAAAATGAATCAAATCCTAAAGCCACAGAAAAACACATCTTTCCATATGCATTACTCAATACGGTGGGCAACCATCTGGATTCTCTTGAATCAGTCAACAAAAACACAGCATCATGAGTGCTTACTAATTCACTTAACTTGTAAAATGATTCCAAGGTCTATTAAACTTATAATTCTGTGACAAAATGACCAGGCATAGGAATCTGAAGTTAATATCCTTCACTCTCTATATCAGGAAAGATCTTCTTTAATTTTTCTGCAGCCACCTCAGCCTTTGGTCTTCCTCCCTTTGTTGAATCCTCAAAATCGTATAAACTTTGTCTAACTGGATTACTATAAGAGATCTTCCCATAATCTACAAATGTTATTTTTCTTATTCCCCAACCAATGAGATTTCTTGCTAGTTGACAACCCAAAGTTCCTGCTCCTATTAACAACACCTTCTGTGTCTAAACTTTATCTAAATCCAAGTCAGGCAACAATCTCCACTTCATTAATTTGATATTCAAATCTACAGCCTCTTTGGCTAGTCTAAATTATAATTAGAAATATTAAATACGATTATTCATCCATAAATGATTTTAAATCTATTCTCTTTTCTTAAAGATAACCTTCAATATTGAAAGCTTTATACTGTCCATTTAATTCAGTTATTTTAGATTCAGATAAGTTTAATTCAACATAAATGGAATTCTTGAATTAAAATTGGTTCTTATTGATTGTCAAAGCATCCTTTATTACTATTATTTTAACATTATTGAGTTGATCTTTAAAAGAGTTATTTGTCAACAAGAAAGCTATAAAGTTATTAAATTGACCATTTATCTGTGCTTAATTGAAGGAATCGAAATACAAGAATACAACCTCTGATTTATTTTTGTAATAGTCTTCGAATTGTACATATTACAAATTGTCCTTCCTTAGAACGACAAATGAAGTATTTGATATCTCTTTTTGTTATTGTTGGATTATGAGGGATAATTACTATTAAAATTAGGGCATTTGATCACCTAAATAATCAGTAAGATTTTTCTAAATGATATTCTATATGTTTTCAACTTAAAATTGGGGAACAACCAGTTTAAAATAGAACAAATATTTCTTTAGATCAGCAAAGATGCTCATTCTTGCTGGAAAGAGATTCGGCTTCTCTTCCTTGGAAAATGACTCAATCATCTTTTTAAAGGTTTATTGCACATAATTCAAATGATCGAATTCTTAATAGGCCTCAATTGTATTGTAGTTTTAGAATTAAATTCTTGAATACACTTCAAAAGGACCAGATTTATTGATGGTAATCTCGTCTTGGAATGAATATATATCCAAATATAATTATGAAGTTTTTTCAGGGTATGGATTTATCTTTGTCTTCACTAGCAAAGATCTTTCGCCGTCATCCAATTTGTAAATCTCAATCTTATTTTTTGATAATTAGGACCAAAATCCAATATCAATCAAGGGTGAGAATGGAATAAATTACATTTTTTAATTAATAAATTAAAGTCAACAGGGTGTATCAAAGAAGTCTTAAACTGTGATTTATCTCTTAAATTTCCTCTCTCTTTATTAAAACCAATCTTTTCCATAAAGATTTTCAACATAATCAGTGAAGCTCACTAATTGATATGCATTTTATTTTTAGGCTTATTAACTTATTCTTGGTATTTCTACCCCAGTGAAAAAGTCGTCCACATCACTCTTATCATTTAAATCTATTTTTGGTTGGGTCTCTTTTCTCCTAAACCGAAAAGGTCGTACTTCTTTTACTTCCTTCTATTACAAATCACTATCAGTCTTTATATATCGGGCACTCTCTTCACTATCTATTTTTTAGCTAAAAAAGAAGCGTGATTTCTTAGAAGATTATTAGTCTAGCAGGTTGTCGAGACTATCTAGATTGCTCTAAAGAGAGTTATAGTCTGTTGTTATGGTATAATTGGATTTCTTAACAGTTTTGGCAGATGAATAATCTTGCTCATTGTCAAGCTTCAAGACATTAGTAGAATATTAAGAGAAAGTTGTTTTTCTAAAAGACATCAATTCCTTTAAAGTTTTCAATAATAAATAATTTATTCTTTATTTGTACTTCAGCATATTTATTAAGGTTGTTTAAAAAAAATACAAACCAATTATAGATTCAGTACTGGTCACAATTTTTACATATTGAAAAGAGAAAATTTAAGTTCTAAAGACAAATTAAACTAAATTTTGAGAAAACTCTCCAACACTTGTGATCAATCATTAAAATATGCCGAAATTCAATTTGATAATTCTGACTAAACATAATTTTTTATTTAACATAAATAAATACTGAAATCTATAAACAAATTTAAGTATTTAAGGATTTCAAATTTGAAACACTATCAATGATGCTAATAATTATTGTAAATTAAATGCATCCTTAATATCATCATCAAAATGATGATCAAAAAATATTTATTAAATAACTGATATTCACTCTAGTATCATTACTTTCTATTTTTAAATTAGATAGCTTCATTTATAATTATTTAAGATTTAATATTAATGATTTAAGCATTTAAATAGTTTTAATGATATGGTTCAATTTTGAATGAATATTTTGAACATTTGGAATCAATCAAAGGATATTCAACTCTATAATATGGTTTTAGAGTCTTTATGGTGTAGGATTGTAGAGTAATGCAATAGCGTTCAGGAATTTAATAAATTATCATTAATTGATGTTGGAATTTAATTATTAGTTCTAATTTTAATACTTATTAAAAAGAATTTTACAAGTGTATGAATACAATGATTTGAGCAAAATTTTAAATAAATTAAATTAATTATGCAATAAGGATAGAGATTGAAAGAAGCTACTGAAGGTTAAATTGTTTAAGCTGGAAACAAGATCGGAGGACCCTTTAAAATTGGAAAACCTGTTTACTAAGAAAAGAGATTGAAATTGTTTAATGAAATATATCAACGTCAAAAGGCAGAACTTGAGGCTAAAGAGAAGACCCCAATTACTATTACTCTCAAGGATGGAAAGAAGATAGAAGGTTTGTTGTATAGTTTATGATTTTAGGTAAAAAGTGGGTTACCACTCCATTGATGATCGCCTTAGGAATCAGTAAGAAGTTGGCTGAAAACATGGTGGCTGCTAAAGTTGTGTACGACAACATATTTGAGAAAAGTATAAATATATTATAACATCTATAGATTTCGTGGATGTAGATCATGAGGATTAACAACAATAAGCATCTACATTGAATTTGAAGCCAGATTACTTGATTTGGGATTTGACTAGACCATTGGAAGGAGATTGCCAATTGGAATTGTTGAGTTTCGATGATAATAATGGAAAGGAAGTATTTTGGCATTCATCTTCCCACATTTTGGGATCAGCCTTGGAAGAAGTATATGGATGTCATTTGTGCATTGGTCCAGCAATTGATGGTGGATTCTTTTATGATTGCTACATCGGAGATTACAAGGTCACTCAAAATGATTACGTCAAAATTGAGAAGGCTGCTTCAGATTTAGCAGCATCCAAATAAGAATTTCAAAGAGCAGTCTTAACCAAAGATGAATGGTATCGATGATTATTATTATATTCTAGCTTGGAATTGTTTGGTACTAATCCATTCAAGAGACAATTGATAACCAATAAGATTCCAGAAGGAGCTATGACTACTGCTTACAAATGTGGTAATTTGATTGACTTATGTACTGGTCCACATTTGCCTAATACTAGCTATGTTAAGGCATTTTAAGTGACCAAGAACTCAGCTGCTTATTGGTTAGGTAAGAACACCAATGATGATTTGTAAAGAGTTTATGGTGTTTCATTCCCAAGTAAGAAATTGTTGGATGAATATGTCAAAATATAAAAGGAATTAGCCTTAAGAGATCACAGAAATGTAGGTAAGAAACAGAATTTGTATCTGTTCCATCAATTGTCTCCTGGATCAGCTTTCTTCTATCCAAGTGGTGCTCATATTTACAACACTCTAATGAACTTTTTAAGAAGACAATACTATATCAGAGGCTATTAAGAAGTTATTTCACCAAACATCTTCAATGCTTAACTCTGGAAGATAAGTGGGCATTATGATAAGTATAAGGAAAACTTGTTCTTCATCAACATGGGTGAAGAGGGAGAATATGGATTAAAACCCATGAATTGTCCAGGACATTGTCTTATGTTTGATATGATCCAACACAGTTACAGAGATTTACCAGTTAGATTTGCTGATTTTGGTGTCTTACACAGAAATGAAGTACATGGTGCTTTGAGTGGATTGACCAGAGTTCGTCGTTTCTAATAGGATGATGCACATATCTTCTGTAGAATGGATCAAATCTAAGAAGAAATCAAGAGTTGTCTTGATTTCTTAAGTTACATCTATTCACTCTTTGGATTCGAATTCAAATTGTATTTGAGTACTCGT